TACACAATATTCATTCTTCTTCCACTGCACCATGAATTTATATTCTACTACATGCCATACATTATTTATGTTAAGTGACAAGACTTTTGTCCAAGCAAAGTCAGACCTTACTGTCCTAATGAAATATTCATTGATTAATAAATCAAGGCATGATCATCTTTTATTTTGGTAAAATAAGCGTAATCTAGAGGCCTTTGCTTTTCATATAAGCCGCTTCTGATGACAAACGATCAACTAGAAGTCAAGTTTTTATTTGTTGTTCCTAAAACTTGAATAGACGACAAGACTTTTGTCAGGTAGTGTATATGTTTATAAAAAACAGACAAATATTAGAAAAGTGAGTCTAATCAGATATTAATGACTAAACAAATATTCTTAGTATGAATCTTGAGTAATTCAATCAAACCTAAGTTTATTTGTAAAGCGCTTTTCACAATAATTATTGTTTCAATGCAGCTTTATAAAAGGTGTACATTATTCCATTACAATAGAATTCAGAAAAGTTAATGTAATTAGTTACCATAACTTAATAATTACTTTAATTAACTTGTAACTAATAATAGCTTTTAACAGTGGAAGTTATTACATATACACATGGTTAACCTGCAGTTATACAGTATCTAGGTGATGTCTATGTGTAACTGTACGCCCTGTGCAAAAACTATGCTAATGAAGGCCTGTTTGTCATATAAAATACTTCTAGCTAAGATCAGAACGGCAGCAACAACATCATGTTTGGCTAGCATTTGGATGACTGACAGAAGCCTAACCACACCCTGCTATAGCAATTGTGGTTTGTTACTAGGAGTCCACGTTGTTGCTCGGCCAATCAGGGCGCAGAGAAGTTGACCTTCTGCTGTGGGTGTTTCCCTTCAGGGCAAAAGAGAGCAGCCGCAAAAAAACAAAAAAACATGAATGACTGAGAGATCGTCATGAGCAGCCAATGAGGACGCAGCACAGATCCAGCCAATCACAGTGTGTTTCTGTTCTGCCGGACAGTTACCAAGTCTCTGTTACTGCCTGGCTGAGGTGGGAGTGTGTGCCATTGGCTGAAAGTGCTGGAAAGTCAGCGCCTGATTGGCTGAATAATCACACGCCGTTGCTAGGGAGCTGCACCAATCACAGAGAGGCAGAAGTCAGCTGTTTGGTTTCTAGGCAGGATTTACTCGCTGAGATGTTTTGGCGGGAGAGCGGGGAGGAAGGAGGGGGGCTGTGAAGTGAAGTGGAGCATGTGATGTGTTTGTGTGTGTGTGTGTGTTTTGCTCTTCCTCTTGTAGGAGCTTTCTGATGCAACATGCAGTTGTGAGGGAGGTGTCTCTTGGGCCTCTTGTGATTTAATTTTTTTTTAACAGGTCTTTACTATGAAACAAGAACCAATGATGTAGCTGTTGCCACGGAGGCAGCGCCAGCGTTTGTTTTGCCTCGCTCTCATCTCCCGTACCTCCCCGTCCACAGTTACCGTAGAAACAGAGTCACTTTGAGTCTATTTCAATCCTCTTCCTCTAGTCAGTGATTTGTCTCTACCTCGTCCTCTTCTGAAAAACCATCCCAGCATTTTGGAAAACTAAAATCCCTGCCGGCAATGTGTTTGTTGCTGGTCTGTAATGAATAAAGATGAAGTTAGTAAACAAATATATGACAAAAATCACACTATTTTAACAACAACTATTCCTAAATTCAGGTTACTCACCAAATTCTTGTATTGTGTTTATAAATACAGCAACTAATCTTGAAATTAGCCATTGCTTTCTCAGAGTTTGCGACGTGCAGCAACAGTGTGTGCAGGAATGCTGAGCTCAACGGCTGTCTAAAAGGATGATGTCATCAACAGCGAGTGAGAACAGGAGGATTGTAATATTCAGGTGACTCACTGCCCGTTCAGAACAAGTGCACTTGAACTGTGCACTTCAATTCTGGCTTAGGCAGAAGATATGCATGCAGAAAATAAATGTCAAAATTGGAATGTGTTGGACGATATTTAAAGTGATGTCAGGTTGTCAAACTTTTCAAGGTCAGTGCATTTGTCTATTAGAAAACAACAACAGCATTAGACTTTCCTGCAGAAATTGAGCATTTGCATTGAATATGAAATGAAATTTGAGGACTAATACTCCTTGTTTACCAAAAATAATACTGTATAATGCTGTACAATAAATATTTCTTGCATGAAAACCAAACATTTAATAATTATATGATACTTACTTTGTATTTAATAACCAATATGTACAGCAATTCATTTAATTCTCAATAGTTTACAGACCCGTAGCCAGATGGGGGTTTGGGTGGTTCGGAAGACCCACACCTCACTGACAAAGGTCCAGAATCTGTCCCATACATGAGCTCATTTGTCCTATTTTGACAGTTGTTGCTAGATCGCATATGGTTGTGGCCAGAAGTTAACGAGAATTATTTATATTACTTATTAAATTTCCCATTAATTGTATTTTATTAATGTCTACCCCCACCCCAACCCTAAACCCAACCGTCACAGTACTGTAAAAATAATAATTATTGTTATACAGTGTCATAAAAAGTGCTGCTATATTGATGTGCATATCGCACTTCCGGACAGCCATGTATCAAATCAAGACTTTACCTATTTAGAATGCTATGCCATCATAAATTCTGAAAATAACTCATCGAAAAAGGCTTTCAGACCATGCTGAGTCCTCTGTTGGCTGTCACTTCGTTGTGACTTCAGCTAATCAGTTTTGGCCACTGCTAACAAATATTTTCATTTTACAACCTGCTGTAAGTGAAGTAATCTTTCACTACTGCATTGTTTTTAATAGAGAAATCATTTTACAAGTAACTTTTATTCTAAATCTTGGACCATATTATTGAAACAAAAAATGAGCAATAAAAAGGTGTGAAGCATCAAAAGCGGCCCATAATGAAATTGATTTGAATACTGTTTATTTTGACTATTGTTGTCCATGAGTTAAAAACTTTAATAAATTCCAGTTTTTTTCTAATGATATATGATGTAATACATATTTATTTTATAAATAAGTATTATTTCACATTATACACAAATATAACTTAAAAAGTCTGTGGATTTAAGGTAAATAATGTTGCAAATAATGTTACTTTCTTGCACAGGCTGATCATTTTACTTTGTGTCAGGCATTGTCTTTTCTTTGCCTGTATGTGTTTTTTTATTATTATTGAGGTAAAGATGGTTTTATATTTATACATTTGTTCAGTTACAACTTGTGACATGCTCCCTATATTGTTTACCATGGTACTGAAATCACATGCAAGTATGACTTCACAACAACATTTGCATAATAGGGTATACGGAAGTATGTGGGAGAACTTTTCATTTGTCAGTAACCTGGGGTTAAGCGCTTCCAGTGACCTGTATGCCATTACAAAATCGCCACGTTAAAACAAAATCCGGTCTGTTTATTTAAAAAATCAGCGACCTCCACTGGAGTGACATCCGATATAAAGTAGGTCTCAAAATGTACAAAAAGCACAGCATTAAATTACATTTTCCCACTCCATGGCTTTCAAATATAAACATTTAATTTAAAGAAGTATATTTAATGGAGCTTCTGCGCTAGCCTGTTAATCTTGACCAGCGCATGCGTGTAAACGACGTTTCATCTCATTTTACGCTTGAGCAACTAAGGGCGTACTCACACTATGCTATCGAACCGTGCCCAGGCCCGTTTCCCGGATCGTTTGAGAAGTGTGAGTGCGCTGAATCGGGCTCAGGCACGGTTCACTTGGCCGGCCCGGCTCACTTGGGCTTTGGCGCGGTACACTTGTGTGTGAGTGCAAAACGCGCCAAAGCTCGAAACTGAAAGCGAGACGTGACTTTTAAGGGACTGTTTCTTTTGGATTTATTAATCAATCTTACTGTTCAATGAACGCAGACTGCCATAGTTTATTAAAGACGCAAACCCCTCACTGCACGACAGCCTCCTCATTCCTGCAGCACGAGGGCTTTATGGCTGTTTATGAGTGCCAAAAGTGGCAGATCTGTTCAGCGAAATATCTGACTGCGTGTCACCGCATCCCTAAGGACTGTTTGGTGAAATATTTGACTGCATGTCACTGCATATCAAACGACTTAAACAATATAACTAGAGAAATTTCCACTGTGCTGAGCGAGAGCGCTTACTGAACAGCGCAGCATCGATGACGTAAGCGTGCCCAGGCCCGATTGTATGTGAGTGTGGGCCGTCGGGGGAGACGGGAGGGGGTACAAGCGTGCTTTGGCCCAGTACATAGTACACAGTACGAGGCAACTGTACATAGTGTGAGTACGGCCTTAATGCATGCGGAAGTCTATTTAGCTGATTATATTTAAATTACATTACAACATCGATGCTGTAAAAGGAACCATATAAAATGGAAAAAAGTCACATTAACGTTAACTGTTCACCGGTTTATCAGTATGGGAAGAAACACTAGCTCTGCATATACCCTATTTATTTGACTGTAAACATTGTTGTAGGCTACTTTGATAGTCATTGGCAGCTAATATTAGATTTTGCAAAGAATACTTTACTGAAATTATATTATTAAGGAGAAAGTCCAAATGTGTGAATATAAAACCAACTTTACCTCATGTTTTAACACTTTCAAAGTTCAAAAAACTTTCATTTTATGAATCACCAAGGACCACATTTTCAGCTAAAACTATTTTTTTATCTTAAAATAAATCTTAAATGGATGTCTTGAGAGTGAGAAAATTAACTTTTCATTTTGGAGTGTACTGTCACTTTAAGACGATTTCGGTCTTATTAAGTTCTTTAAAAGTATCTCAATAAACCTAACATCAAAACGACGACCAATTTAAAACCACTGACACTAATTCCAACACTTTCGATATGACACATCGAGCGAAATGCTGCGTTTGTAGTTAAAATAAGACTGACAGACCCAACACACAAACCCTGACTGACCTTTCCCTCGGGCACCAACAACCCTTCGACTCCCGCCTCTTTAGCGTAATTAGCATATCATCACCTGACGTCAGCCACGTAGGCGTGGTTTTCGGCGGAGGGCGCAGAATGAAAGCGGAGCGAGTCCGTGTTAGTAAATACAAAACCGTGTGAAGACGGAATAAAAGAGCACTGACACAAAAGCGGAATAAATACAGCACTGACAGACACATATTCAAGCTCTGGCGGTGAGTTTCTGTCTTATTTGCTGCAGTTTCATTCTACAAAGCAGGCGTTTGAAAGAACATGTGAGTTTATTAGTAATAAAGAAAGTTTCAGTGATTTTATCTAAAATAAAGTGACTGAAGTGTTAAAGTACAAAATAAAGATCCAAATCTGACATATTCATTTAGATATTTATATTCAATGTAATTTTAACGTCAAATATCATATAAAGAAGTCTCATTTTGTCTTGATATTGTGTTTTTACTACGTTAATTGAGGTAAAGTTGGTTTTATATTCGCACGTTCGTTCAGTGACAACTCGTGACATGCTCCCTATATTGTTTACCATGGTACTTTATATATGAAGTCTGAAATCACATGTAGGTATGACTTAAAACAACATAAGCGCTATTTCATTGACTGAGAACAATGTGTACTTTGATAGTCATTGGCTGCTAATATGATTCCCCTATTCAGAATGTGCAGTTCTCAGCCAAAATTAAATTATTAAGGGGAAAGTCTGAATGTTTGAGTATAAAATTAACTTTACCTCAATTTTATCATGATATAAAATTAACTTTACCTCAATTGTACTATGGTATTACCTCGTGGCATATGTTTTAAATGGTTTGCTTTTAGTATTACCTGCTTAAATGAGCTTAAAATAGTAGTAATAGTGAAATACATCATAAAAATGGCTTATGATGGTATTTTAGACTGGTTAGGATGATCTTTGATTAATCCCCCTCCAATAAACCAGGGTAAACAAGAGTCCATCTAAAACCTCAAACCATCTCAGACTGTTTTATCTGCATAGTTAACAGTGTAATCTTCAATAATCACCTATGATAGTCCATCTATTAACAGAATCATACCTCAGAACTATGCTCGTAATGAGTTTTTTAAATGATTGTTTGTTTTGTTGACTGGAGCGTTTATGCACTGCAAACTAATTAGACATCTGTTCATGTCTGAAAACCCTCTCGAGCAATCTGTAAACTTGACTAATTTGGCTGTAGACGCTCCATTTTATAAACAACTATTCTCATCATGATGGCATCTGCACTAATCTGCTCTGCAACTCTCAGCTGATCAGATTATTCATGAGCAGACTTCATAAGCTGATTTGTTTTGTTATGATAGTGCAGGTTTGAATTGTAGTGCTTTCTGGGAAACAACGACAGCAGACTGAAACCTTCAGCAAAGGCCTGAAACTTCCTCTAGTTTGTTTGAGGCTCCTTTGAAATGTTGGCATTTGACGTTTTTGGTGGTTTTGCTTGTGACCATCTTAGTCATCACTCAGTGCACTTGCCAGAAGTTGCACGTAATCGCTGATCGACTATCAGGTTTTATTTGTTCATTGTTAAATCAAATACAGGGTGTATTTAAGCATCTAAATCAGTCGTAAGCATCTAAATCAGTCATGGTTGTGAAATGTGGGTGAGCTTTTTTAAGGGATTCAGCACTTGCATCAGATCACACACTGATGCGAACTGAAGAAAGAGGAAAAACATTGCTATGTGCACGGTATCAGAAGCAGCAACCAATCATATTGCTGTGCATATTATGGGATGGAAATATAAATATGCCTATTCCCCCATAATTTGGTACAAGTTTATATGCACATGTTGGGAGATAATTAATAAATAGATAATACATTTAAATATTTAATTTTTGTTGCATTGTGTTGCCACATAATATCCAACGTAAACTAGGGTTGGGTGATATTACAAAAATCTCATATCACGATATAAATCATCTCATATCCTGATAATTATATAGTATCATGATATAGTACAATTTCTGTAAATTAAATAATAATACATTAATAATAATTAATTTTAAATTAAATTATTAATTAACAATTTCTTAATAATTTAATGTATAAAATGTCCTCATTCATATGTGATCATCACATTTCTCACTTTATTTAGAACTTCATGGCAAATGTTTGATTAAAAATGTGTGACTAAAATAAATATTAATAAAATATTAAGCACTTTTATTACAAGTCCAACATAAAATAAAAAATATTACTAAGTAAAATGCTAAATGAAAACAAAGCACTTTCAAGATTGCGACTTTCTCACAATGATTTTATTCTGTTTGCATGCCCGTAATGATTTAAAATTGTGCTCATATAAAATATTTAAAGATATTATGTACTTTGTGACAACAAAATAAACAATAGTGCATAATATCAAACAATAGACTTTTACTGTGTTCATTCGATATATATCATCTTATTGCACAGCCCTAATGTGAACCATTGCTACTGATGCCAAATCAGTGAACTACAAACAATAACAGAACCTGTCAAAACTAAACTCTCCATAGACTCATTCTTCATTTAAATCAGAAGCAACGAAACAGTGGAATAATCTGTGATATATTTCAGGGCGGTTTTGCTGACTCCGCCGATGGATGATGAGGAGGATGAACAGCTTCCTCGCTGCTGTGAAACGCCGCTAAGAAACAAGCGCTCAGAGAAGAGAGACGCCCACGGTGGAGACGTGGGACAAACAGCTCACAGACACGCATCCACACAGACTGCTGGCTCTGTCCTCAATTCAGCGAGAGACGCAGATATGGCACCATTCCAGGGCTCACAGAGAGAAGCATCATCTCTTTGCAGAGTTGTGGGTGCTAGGACTGCATTCAGGGCTCCCTGTGGAACTGGGGGCCTTGTGTCACTTACTATGGGCCCCGGAGCCCGGGGTGGGCCAAGAGCACTTTTTCATGGTAGGGAAACACAAAGGGCATCATTTCTATGAGTATGGCATTACAGTTACAGGTCAGAAATATTAAGCTCCCTGAGCTGTTCTAGTTAAGGAAAAGACAAATTTTTCAACACATTTAAATTGAATAGTTTTAGTAAATGAACTGATTTCTTTTATCTTTGCCATAATAACAGTATATAACATTTTATTAGATATTTTTTAAGATACTAGTATTTAGCTTAAAGGCACAGTTAAAGGCTTAACTAGGTAAATCAAGTTAACACGGGATAAAGTTATGGCAATTAGGCAAATCATTGTATAATGATAGTTTGTTGTCAACAAAAAATTGCTTAAGGGGGCTAATAATATTAACCTTAAAATCGTTAAAAAACTAAAAACTGCTTTTAATTTTAGCTGAAATAAAACAAATAAGACTTTCTCCAGAAAAAAAAAATATTATAGGAAATACTGTGAAAAATTCCTTGCTCTGTTACCCATCATTTAGGAAATATTTTAAAATGTCTAAATGTTAGTGTTATATTGTCATCATTATTGTTGTTTTTTAATTATATTAATAAAATATATTCTTTTAGAAATACACATTTGAAATGCATTTTAGAAATTACTTATGAAATGTTATTTTAATGTTATAATATTTGTTTTAGTATTGATTTTATTAGTATTAATAAAATATACCATTTTATAAAGAAATGTTTAAGTGCATTTTAGTAATAACTAATAAAATGTTATTATGTTAATGCAATGTTATATTATTATTATTGTTTTTTATTATTTTTATTAGTGCTGTCAAAAGATTAATCGTGATTAACTGAATCCAAGATAAAAGTTTGTATTTACATAATATATACGTGTATACTGTATATATATATATATATATATATATATATATATATATATATATATATATATATATATATATATATATATATATATATATATATATATATAAATACACTTACATACTGTACTTAATATACTAAATAAATATTCAAATATATATTTATATATAAATTGTATTACATATAAATATTTATGGTGGCATGGTGGCTGATTCAAGTCCCAGCTGGGGCAGTTAGCATTTCTGTGTGGAGTTTGCATGTTCTCCTCGTGTTGGCGTGAGTTTCCACCGGGTGCTCCGGTTTCCCCCACAGTCCAAAGACATGCGGTACAGGTGAATTGAATAAACAAAATTGTCCGTAGTGTACACTCAAAATATTATTTTTTGCCAGTTGTTCATATTATTATTATTTAAATTGAGCAAAATCAACACAATTCTTGATTTTTTTGTGTGGAACCCAACATTGTTTACAGTGTATGAGTGTTTCCCAGTACTGGGTTGCAGCTGGAAGGGCATCCGCTGCGTAAAGCATATTCTGGAATAGTTGGTGGTTCATTCAGCTGTGGTGACCCCTGAAATAGAGACTAAGCCAAATGAAAATGAATGAATAAATATTTATGAATATAAACAAGCACTCTACACAATATAGTCCTGCATATATTCATATACACAAAAACATACACGATACTCACAAACATATTTTGTAAATATGAGCTTTTATTTTGGATGTGATTAATCATTTGTCAGCACTAATTACTATTAATAAAATATACACTTTTAGATCTACTAATTTTAAATGCATGTTATAAATCAGTGTTTTTCCCAACCATTTTCCTGGAGGACCACCAGCTCTGCATATTTACCATGTCTCCTGAACCAAACACACCTGATTCACATCATCCACTTATTAGCAGAGACTGAAAGACTTGTAATGGGTGTGACAGACAAAGGAGACATCCAAAACATGCAATGTTGGTGGTCCTCCAGGAACGTGGTTGAGAAACACTGTGAGAAACTATTATAATTTTAACGCAGTTATATTATTTCTGTGTTTATTACTATAAATAAAATAATTATTTTAGAAATACAACATTTGAAAGCATTTTAGTCCTGACATAATATGTTATTATGTTAATGCAATCTTATATTATTATTGTTTTTATTAGTATTAATAAAATGATGCAAATTTTAAGTGCATTATTTAGTAATGACTAACGTTATGTTATTATAACGTTAATGCAATGTTGATATTTTATATCCATTAATAAAACATTTTTTAGGAATGCAAATTTTAAATGTATTTTCCAAAAGTAGAATATATTTGACAAAATATTACATCATACATAAATAATTATAAATTTATACAAAGCTGATCATTCAATATATTATATATTATTATATTAATTATTATTTATTATATAATATTATATTAAGCTAATATAAAACAATAATAATATATTAATAAACACAATTATAATTTGATACACCAAAATAATGTAAACATTGTTTTAATTTTAAAGGAAACGCTGGATTTCGTGCACACTTCCCTGCGCTGTTCGAACCCGCCCTGGATGGCTTACAAAACGCCGAACAGAGAGAGCAGGACGAAGGCAGACCAGAAGAAAAAGAAGAGGATCGCGACGCAGGGATTAGCGTGGAGGTTCAGATTGGACGTAAATTACGTGAAATGGGGGATCAGTTTCAGCAAGAGCATCTTCAGCTGGTAAGAGTCATTCACATCAGACTGATTCTTTTCTTCAAGGCCGCTGGGTTTCAGATGTGTGTGGTCAGAAACTGGTGGTTTCAGTCACGATGCAAAATGACATCACTGTCTGCTATTTCAGTGTTGAATATGCAAATTCCCAAGAGGGAGCGATGACATCATTGTTGATTTATGCGTCCTGCTTACTTTTAGATTATATTAGATGAAACCAGATACAGGATTTAACCTGCTAGATGATGCTTCACTTAGCATTTTTGGTCAAATTATTAGTTTATTTGAGCAAATAATATAAGAAATATGTTGATAAACTTTTTAAAAATACAATTTTATAATATAATTTCAAACAAAATGGTCGTATGAGACTTTTTATGCTCTTATATATGTCTTTAAATGCCATTTAAAGCTAAATGTTAGTATTATTTGTATATATTAGACTTATTTGCATTCATTCTAGTCTTGTCTTCAATTCAAAGTGACATTAAAGACAAAATCGGAATAATAAACTCACGCCCTCTGCATTACGGTTAAAAGGGGTCTAAATTTAGATTCATCAAGTGTTTAAAAGTAAGAAAGTTCAGCATTTACCCATGCCGGCAGCAGTCGGTGTGTGTTTGTGTGTGTGAGCTCAGAAAGAGGATGTGAAGTGTGTTTATACTGCCGGCTAATTTTAGAGTCTGACTCAATCCCCACGTCAGCAGACATGTGACCACAATCTGAAATGTAGGCTAATGTAACACCTTTAGTAACACTCTAACTGTGTGTATGTGTGTGTGTGTGTGTGTGTGTGTGTGTGTGTGTGTGTTATATGCTGAGCTGCTACAACTTAGTTCATGAATATGCAGATTGCACATGTTATAAAATATGAAATGGCACAAGCTTAGAATACAATGCAAAAACTGAAACTTCATGTTCTCACAAGAGAGCCTAAGGGCTGTTGAATGATTTATAAACCTGAAAGATGACACTTCAATTAAGAATAAATGGGTCAGATAATAAGTTGATCTAACTATGTTAGCTTTAGCTTGCCTTGGGTTAGAGTGGCTGCTTATGCAACTCTGTGCAATAGTACAACTCCCGCCCGCATCTCACTGCTGATTGGTTGCTTTATCTGTCAATCAAGCGGGTTGAAGCTGCGTGTAATAGCGCCATCTTATGGTTGTTCACTGACAGTGAACTAAAAACACGAACTCAACATTGACCCTGTTGACTTTCTTATGGATAGTTCACTCCCAAATTAAATTTAATCACAATTAATTCACCCTCAAATGGTTTGAAACACAAAAGAAAATATTTTGAAGAACAAAGTGAAAATAAAATATCTTCTTTTGTGTTTACCAGATGAAAGAAAGTCAAACTGGTTTGGAACAAGTGAAGGATGAGTAAATGATGACAAGAATTGTACATTTTGGGTGAATTATCCCTTTAATAGACAAATCTGGCTTTATTAATGAATTATTTTTTACTATAATTATTTAAAATTAACTTTTTATAGTGGATGACAGGAGAATTTGATACGGACTAAATCAGGGGTCCGGGACGGCCAGTGTCCTGCATAGTTTAGCTCCAACTTCCTTCAACACACTTGCCTGGAAGTTTAAGTATACCTAGAAAGAGCTTGATTAGCTGGTTCAGGTGTGTTTAATTGGGGCCCTCCAGGACTGAGCTTGGGCACCCCTGGACTACATCAATGCAACCAAAAATCACTGTTTACTCAAAATGAGTCACATTATTTATGGTAAATTGATGTGTATTTTCATTAGGGATGCTCAATATATCGTTTCAGCATCGATATAGAATGTGCAAGTCTGCAATAGTCACATCGCAGGGATCTGCAATGTAGTTAAGATTGTAATTGATCAGATATTACAATTACAACATAGTGGAGTAATTCACATTTTAACTTTAGAGTGAAAGTTTATTATTTGCATTTGTTTTTAAGGCCTGATTGTTAGAGTTTGAATCAAACTTGAGCCATTTGGGCACAATAAATTAAAAGTTTGTAGCTTCAAGATTAATTGAACATTATATAATTACTTTAAAAATGATTCAAAGATGACTCCTTGGATTTACTATTTTTTTTTTAAGTTAAGTGGTTGTAAACTATTTATTTGGGCGGAATTTAAACACAAATTGGGTTGACCATTACTAAATTAAGTTAGTTTGTTTAAAATCAACACATATAAAATTGTTTGCAACAGTTTTGTAGACATCTTTTTTGTGCAATTAAAATGATACAGTGTTAATACAGGGTTTCTGCAAGTTTCACCAAGTTAAATTTAAGACATTTTTTAAGACCATTATGAATGAAATTTTAGACTTTTACTGGGCTAAATGCTAAGGATTTTATTTGAATATCCCAGTTGGAAAAGATCTTCACTTGCCATGTCAAAATATTATTATAATTGAATACAATCACATAAAACAACAACAATAATAATAATAATATATGTAGGCCAGGTCAGTATCTTCAGCTGTAAATAAAAGGAGAAGTTTTAAACAAATGTTACTGTAAGGAAAGTAACTGAGACTGGAATTGCTGGTGATTGTATGGGTGTTAATGGCCAGATTGGGTAGCAATACTTGAACAAAGGAAAATTAAGACCTGTTAAAAAAGATTTAAGCCCTATAACACAGTTTTTCAGTAGATTTAAGACTGTTTAAGGCCTTCAATATAGTTTTTGAAATTTAAGACCCTGCGGATATTGTGATATTATTATTATATTATACAGTGATTATTTAATTTCTGCTTCTGAATACTGTTTGACTCCCCAGAAGATAATAAAACATTGTTTATTTGCATATTTTGTCTGTTGTACTTTTAATTTTTAAATTATATTTAATGCAAATATGCTTCATAGAATCATCCCAATCGATCTTAAATTATGAATTCTTAACAAGCTATTCAAGTGATCTGGTGAAATTGCATTTATATTGCAATATATATATGGCAGTGAATAAAAATATTGTAATGTCAGTTTTTTTTTTCAATATCGTGCAGCCCTAATCTTCATTATAATGCATTCTTTAGGAGATTTAATGCAGTATCTTCATTTGGCTTAAGATAAAATAGATAATTTATGATTCATTAATTTTGGTTATTTTTCTGCAGTTTATTCAAAGCTGCCAGATGACGGGTTATTGAAATTTATTGACAAAAGCAGTGCAACCTAAAACCTCTATTGTCAAGTGGCATTATTAAAGAAACAATTCAATTTGTGTGTATTTTTATAATAATGTCTTCTCTCACTAATTAAATGCATTTCTTTGGTTTACTGACCAAAAAAGTCTACTTCTGATGAATTGTTTTTGATTTATTTTTCTGCAGTTTACTCAAAGGGGCCAAATGGGTTTGTTCCAGCTCATGACGTCGATCTACAACTTCCTTTTTCCCCAAGAGAGACCCCAAAATGCAAGAGCCCACAGATGAGAGCACACAACGCACTTGTTCAGGACCCAATCTGAGTTTTGCATAAAGCTCTGACATGCGCAGATCTGGATTTATGTGACTCAAAAAGAAGGTTGCCGCTGGTCGGAGACTTCTCTCCTTTTTCTGAAGAAGCCATACTCAAAGTGAAGCATTGGTGGAATATTTTCTGCTGGCTGCATATCAGTATGAGCACATTAATATTCTGCCTTATGTTCCCCCCAACGTACATTCACATATGAGTGGATCTCAGATCGGTGAATGCCTTAAAAAAATCCCTCAAAGGAAGGAAGAACTGCTTTAATAGGCAAAGAGCTGTGAGAATACTCAAGGTCTGCACACTGTAATGTGTGTGTTTGAGTATTTGTGGTGATTTAAATACACCTACTGAACCCCGGCACATCCAGAAGACTCCTGGTGAATCATGGCTTGTGCTTGGTTCACCGCTGTTATCCTCAGTCCTATTGAAGGACAGGATGGATAAGAGATGTAATAGGCCAGTAACATGTTTCCGGACACACAAAACCTGAAAAGGTTTGCAGAAAACAACTTGAACATCAGGTTCTACCTGTATATCAATAATGAGCCATTTTCTAGAACAACACGGGGACCGATATGAATTTTGTGATTTCAAGATGCTGAAGATTGTGTTTAGACATCATGAAAACAATTCAATTTACAACAATTCAGAAATATTAGTTTGCCTTAATGAATTCTACTGTCATATATCACACAGACTACATAATGCCATGGTTTCTCTCAGGCACTGAAGTATTACTTTAGAAATCAGTGTTCAAAACATCTTAGTAATTGGTGAAGATCAACTGTGCTCAAAGAGCAATACACCAAATCATCTTCTACAGTTCAACTCAAGCGATAAATGCAATCAAAACCAACAAATCCATAATGAGAACCTATAAGTTCTGTATTAGTATGTATATGTCAATTAATAGTAACTATAAAGAGGTTTATATAAGGCAACTGTAAATGTTTTAAGAGGGAATGCGTCCTCGAAGGGATATTTTGCTCAATTATTATTATTTTTCATCATTTACTCACCTTTTATTTCATTTGAAACATTCCTGTATTTTCGTCAGGTATGGCGTCTTATTTAATTTAGGCGGGAAGTAAAGAAAAGCTGAGGTAATGACGAAAATCGCTTAAAAACATACAAAGCTAATTGGAAAACTTCATTATACATCCGCAAAAAAAATATATGGTGTCTACCCAAGTTTGTAAATGATTAGTTTTTATTTTAACGCGAATTGTCCCTTTAAGCACGAGGACGACGATGAACTCAGATGCATTAGATTTATTTACAGAGCGTCCAGAGAAACGGTTAGCTCGCGCCATCACGTGACCGACTCATGACCTGGCGCGATATGAATATTTAAGAGTTTGTATATGATAAGATATAAAGCGAGGGATTTTATTTTCCATATATATATTTGTAAACTCACAATGTAAAGTGAAAGTATTATAAATATGAGATTTATAATTTAAGTTATTACAGAATAGATATCGTTCCATGCTTTCTTTTGTGGTACAATCTTCTGAGGTGCCTGTACTTTGCGGTTTACAATTTGACATGGTTTGCTTGTGCAATGCATTATCGATAGATTTAATCACATAATGTCGTCTGTATAATGTTATTGGAGACCATGAAGACGGTGTGAATATAATGTAGACCGTCAGAGTCCACATAATTCACATTATTACCATTCCGATATACACTAGCAGTCAAAATATGCAAATGATAAGATTGGTTAATGTTTTAAAAGAAAGAAATTTATTTATTTGATAATAAAAAATAAAGCAAAAACTGTGAAATAGCCTATGATTACAATTATAAATGTTTTGCAATTTCTTTTTAAATATTTGATTTATTCCTGTGATTCAAAGCTGAAGTTTCATCACCATCATAGCTTTTATTTGCAATCGTTTTTAACATTATAAATGTATTAATGATGTAAAAAAAAGCTTAAATATTAGCTTGTACTTTCTTTATTAATTTTAAAATTAATTTAATTTTTTTTTTAATTAAAATGTAAATTTCCACAATACTATGAATCAGGACAAAAGATTTTCAGCACTGATCATTATTAGAAATTTTGTACCATCAATAACTGATCATAAAAGATCATATTACTACGATTTCTGTACGTTCACTGAAGACTGGAGTAATGATGATGAAAATTCAGCTTTAAATCACAGCAATAGGTTAAATTTGAAACTAAATTTAATAACAAAACCTTGTAATAAAATTTTACAGTATTTTTGATCAAATAATTGCAGGTTTGGTGAGCCAAATTAGCTTAAAACATTAACAAAATCTTACTGTTTCTCTGAGTTTCATTGATTTAATTCACAACAAGGGACTTTGTACATTAAAAAACATTCCTCAAGAACGTAAATGTACCCACATTCCCCCAAAGACTCCCTTTTTCCAAAGGTTATAGGCCTACAAACCAATACAAATCATAAACAAAACTTAAATAAACAACAACAGCCAAAAAAAAAAAAAACTATGTTCACAATGTTTATTAAGAAGCCATTTCTTAACATTATAAGAGATTGTTGTATGAAATTTCACTGATGTGATGCTGTGAAATAAAAAAGCAGCTTGACCAAAAGAGGCTTTTTAAAAATACTGCAATAGCTACACCTCAATCCAAACTTTTGACTGCTAGTGTATGAATATACATATATATTCCGATTTCAGCTCATTTTCTCTGGCCAAGGTGATTTTTCCAGTGCTGTGCTGTGCTTGTCCTGTTGTTCTTCTGACAGGTGTGCCTCATGCTTGTGTATTGGTAACAATGACACTTGCAGACAATCAAAACAGCTGAAGGTGCCTTAGAACAGCAGGCCGACGATGAGGATTTGATGCCAACATCTCGAGCACCCAAACAAACAGACAGACAACTGTGGATTATAGGTCACAAATGAACTGGTGAATTTATGAATACCTCCACCTAAACACCAGGGAGCTCAAATAGACTATCAATGAATGAACAATGACGGACAGGAACAGGCTGCTGCCTCATTTATCTGAAATGCCCTTTCAAATGCACTTGTTTCAGAAAAAGAAGTCAAAAGAAAAAAAAAAAAAAGGTCTAAAACGGCAAGCTGTTTTTACTTTTATTTTGGAATGTGTACGGGATGTTAATGCGGATTGTTTTTTTAATTTTGCTACTTGAAATAATTATACAGTTTGATAAATATATGATGAAATGCTGTTATAAAATTGTCAGATAAGATGTCTTTTTTTACCTATATATCACAAATGCTGTCATATAAATGCTGAAACTTTTTCTGCAACCGTCACTGCATTAAAATATTTATGGATACTCATTTGACCTCACTTTGTGATTGTTTTTTACACACACACACACACACACACACACACGCACGCACACGCACACACATGTACAATTTATACATACAGTTTAAGTCAGAATTATTAGCCCCCCCTTAGATTTATCTTTTTTTAAATTTTTCCTTGATGTTTAACAGAGCTAAGAAATTTTCACTGTATGTCTGATATAGTTTTTTCTTCTGGAGAAAGTCTTATTTATTTTATTCTAGCTAGAATAAAAGCAGTTTTTAAAAATAATAATAATAAAAACATTTTTTTAGATCAAAATTATTAGCCCCTTTAAGCAATTTTTTAATAGTCTACAGAACAAACCAAACTTCCCTAATTACCCTAACCTGCCTAGTTAACCTAAATTACCTAGTTAAGCCTTTGAATGTCACTGTAAGCTGTACAGATGTGTCTTGAAAAATATCTAGTCAAATATTATTTACTGTCATCATGGCAAAGATAAAATAAATCAGTAATTAGAAATGAGTTATTAAAACTATTTGGTTTAAAAATGTGTTGAAAAAAAATCTGCTCTCCGATAAACAGAAATTGGGGAACAAATAAACAAGAGACTAATAATTATAAAAGTATTCATATATATATATATATATATATTATTCAAATAATTACATAATGAATAACATACTGTATTAATACTATTATATTACACTTACATCATAATTATATAATACAACTATAAATCTATAGTTATAAAATTGTGTTTGTATTTACATTTATGTGCGTAACTACATATTTTATAACTGTAGATTAAGCTACATTATATAATTATAAACAATTAGCTAACATATATAACTATAACACACACACACACACACACACACACACACACACACACACACACATATATATATATATATATATACATACATACATACATACATAAGCTAGTTTTACATATAACAAGTATAATGTACTGTATAACTATGTAAAATTACAAGCTATATTATATAATTATAATTATATACAATTAGCTAACATATATAAATATAACACACACACATATAGATAGATAGATAGATAGATAGATAGATAGATAGATAGATAGATAGATAGATGATAGATAGATAGATAGATAGACACATAGACAGACAGACAGATAGATAGATAAGCTAGTTTTACATATAACAAGTATAATGTACTGTATAACTATGTAAAATTACATAATAAAAACAATACGTTTGCACTATTTTGTGTTATAAAATACTACGTACAAATAGTAACATTAAAAATAGCCTTAAAGTACTCAGTAATTTAATTTTCCACATAGACAGATTGTTTGAGAATATATTCATATATACACACAAAATATAAACAGAAAATGCTTTAAATAATAAATGTGGAGTTTTAGTTTTATTGATTGGAGTTGGTTTAGATGGACTAACATGACTTTAAATGAACTACAACACAGCTGTATCAAACAAAACAATGTTATCATATATCTACTGCATAATACTGATGAATCTCACATACTTAAGGGCTTCATCTTATTATTTTCTTATCTTTTATATAAACGTCTATACAAATTGTGAGAAGAAAAATGTTAAGATGAATAATTTAAATCACCAATTTATAAAAGTTAAAAATTAGAATATATCCTAAAATCTGAGATGATTATTGATCAAGTAAACACAAATGCTCACACAAACAAATACTCAATCAGTCCATGGCAGTTAAAAACGTACAAAACAAAACAAAAACAATCACATATATAGCACAAAGAAAATGTCCAAATCGATTGAAATTCAAGGCCGGTTACAAACTAAAAAAGAAAATGTCACAAGTAATGCTACATGATCCGTTCCATGATCACTGCTTTTTGTTTGGCTTCAAAATCTTGTTTGTGTTGGCGATGTGTCCAAATGGTCCTACAAACACAAAACACAGCATTAGTTGTAATAGATAAGACAGTTAAACAGCGCCCTCTGTTGGCCAACCCGTTTCATGCACACACCGCTGAGTTAGTGGGTTAAAATGAAGGTTAATGTTAATACAACCAAACTACAATGAACACACACACTCAACAAACACACACATGTTGGTATTGGTAGTTTACAGGGGCTCTCCATAGGGTCAAAGTTTTTTTTTTTTAATACAGTAAAAACAGCTTATTATATGGCCTTACCTTAAATATGTTCCTTTAATTACCTTTAGGCCCTCTTTAAGTATGATTTTGAAGTGTTTTGAATTTCCAGTACACAATTTTCTGTTAAATAGACATCTAAAGGCAGACAGCTTGGCTAAGGCAAGACTAAACTTGTTCTGTCAGTAAAAATCTAATAGACGTCTGTCTAATGGACATCTTAATGTTGACAGCTTGGCTAAAACAAGGCCAAACTTAGGCTGTCAGTGCAAATCTAACTTGCGTCTAATAGACATCTAAATGTAGACAGCTTGGTTAAAACAAGACTAAACTTGGTCCGACAGTGAAAATCTAATAGACATCTAATAGAAATCTAAATGTGGACAGCTTGGCTAAAACAAGACTAAACTTGGGCTGACAGTGAAAATCCAATAGACGTCTAATAGATATCTAAACGTAGACAGCTTGGCTAAAACAAGACTATACTTGGTCTGTCAGTGAAAATTTAATAGACGTCTAATAGATATCTAAATGTAGACAGCTTGGCTAAAGCAAAACTAATGTTGAGCTGTCAGTGAAAATCTAATAGACGTCTGTCTAATGGACATCTAAATGTAGACAGCTTGGCTAAAACAAGGCCAAACTTAGGCTGTCAGTTCAAATCTAACTTGCGTCTAATAGACATCTAAATGTGGACAGCTTGGTTAAAACAACACTAAACTTGGTCCGACAGTGAAAATCTAATAGACATCTAATAGAAATCTAAATGTGGACAGCTTGGCTAAAACAAGACTAAACTTGGGCTGACAGTGAAAATCCAATAGACGTCTAATAGATATCTAAACGTAGACAGCTTGGCTAAAACAAGACTATACTTGGTCTGTCAGTGAAAATCTAATAGACGTCTAATAGATATCTAAACGTAGACAGCTTGGCTAAAACAAGACTATACTTGGTCTGTCAGTGAAAATCTAATAGACGTCTAATAGATATCTAAATGTAGACAGCTTGGCTAAAACAAGACTATACTTGGTCTGTCAGTGAAAAGCTAATAGACGTCTAATAGATATCTAAATGTGGACAGCTTGGCTAAAACAAGACTATACTTGGTCTGTCAGTGAAAAGCTAATAGACGTCTAATAGATATCTAAATGTGGACAGCTTGGCTAAAACAAGACTATACTTGGTCTGTCAGTGAAAATCTAATAGACGTCTAATAGACATCTAAACGTGGACAGCTTGGCTAAAACAAGACTATACTTGGTCTGTCAGTGAAAATCTAATAGACGTCTAATAGACATCTAAACGTGGACAGCTTGGCTAAAACAAGACTATACTTGGTGCTTCAGTGAAAATCTAATAGACGTCTAATAGATATCTAAATGTAGACAGCTTGGCTAAAGCAAAACTAATGTTGAGCTGTCAGTGAAAATCTAATAGACGTCTGTCTAATGGACATCTAAATGTGGACAGCTTGGCTAAAACAAGGCCAAACTTAGGCTGTCAGTGCATATCTAACTTGCGTCTAATAGACATCTAAATGTGGACAGCTTGGCTAAAACAAGACTAAACTTGGTCTGACAGTGAAAATCTAATAGACATCTAATAGAAATCTAAATGTGGACAGCTTGGCTAAAACAAGACTAAACTTGGTCTGTCAGTGGAAATCTAATAGACGTTTATTATATATCTAAACATAGACAGCTTGGCTAAAACAAGGCTAAACTTGGTCTGTCAGTGAAAAGCTAATAGACGTCTAATAGAAATCTAAATGTGGACAGCTTGGCTAAAACAAGACTATACTTGGTGTGTCAGTGAAAATCTAATAGACGTCTAATAGATATCTAAATGTAGACAGCTTGGCTAAAGCAAAACTAATGTTGAGCTGTCAGTGAAAATCTAATAGACGTCTGTCTAATGGACATCTAAATGTAGACAGCTTGGCTAAAACAAGGCCAAACTTAGGCTGTCAGTGCATATCTAACTTGCGTCTAATAGACATCTAAATGTGGACAGCTTGGCTAAAACAAGACTAAACTTGGTCTGTCAGTGGAAATCTAATAGACGTTTATTATATATCTAAACATAGACAGCTTGGCTAAAACAAGGCTAAACTTGGGGTGTCAGTGAAAATCTAATAGACATCTAATAGAAATCTAAATGTGGACAGCTTGGCTAAAACAAGACTATACTTGGTCTGTCAGTGAAAAGCTAATAGACGTCTAATAGACATCTAAATGCAGACAGCTTGGCTAAAACAAGACTAAACTTCGGCTGACAGTGAAAATCAAATAGACATCTAATAGAAATCTAAACGTAGACAGCTTGGCTAAAACAAGACTATACTTGGTCTGTCAGTGAAAAGCTAATAGACGTCTAATAGACATCTAAATGCAGACAGCTTGGCTAAAGCAAAACTAATGTTGAGCTGTCAGTGAAAATCTAATAGACGTCTGTCTAATGGACATCTAAATGTGGACAGCTTGGCTAAAACAAGGCCAAACTTAGGCTGTCAGTGCAAATCTAACTTGCGTCTAATAGACATCTAAATGTGGACAGCTTGGCTAAAACAAGACTAAACTTGGTCTGACAGTGAAAATCTAATAGACATCTAATAGAAATCTAAATGTGGACAGCTTGGCTAAAACAAGACTAAACTTGGGGTGTCAGTGAAAATCTAATAGACGTCTAATAGACATCTAAATGCAGACAGCTTGGCTAAAACGAGACTAAACATGGGTTGTCAGTGAAAATCTAACTGTGTTTAGACATCTATTGGACATCTATTAGACATCTATTAAAACAAAAAAATGCTTGCCGGGTAATGAGGACACAAGGCATGTCCTCACAAACCATTGTAATAGAGTACAACTAGGTCATACTCATGTCAGTATACAAAAAAGTCCTTGAAAACAACCAAAACCTTTATGTGGGTGCACACACACACACACACACAGACACGAACACAAAGCTCAAAGGTGAAGCGTTCAGACAGAGCAGATGGAGATCATGAACATTAGACTCTGATGGGAGAGAAAGCGCATCTGAATCAGTGCATAAGCGATTGTGACGTGACGGTGAATCAGAAGGGCTGATCTGTGTGTCGCCAATACCTGAACCTCAGTGAGCAATAAAAGCAGGCAGTGATTGATTGATCACATGTGTGTGGAGGGAAGGAGAGTCGTCCCGCTGTGATCCTGAACGTATGACCTGCCCAGAGCAGCCTGTGGATACACACACATACAACATACGCACAAACATACATATGCACACATATGCACAAATACATACACACACACACACACACACACACACACACATGCACACAGAAAACGAACACATGCAGACATACAAACATGAAACACACACACACACGCGTGCACGCACACGCAAGCACGCACACACACACGCATGCAAACACACAAAGGGATATGTGCACACATGCACAGACACACACCAACAGAGAGACATGCACACAGAAACACGTGCACACACACCAACAGGAAACACAGAAACACATGCGCACAGACAAAGACACACAAACATACACAGTGACACACATACATGCACATAGACGCACATACACAGGCCCACAAAGACACACACATACACACAGAAAACCAAAACATACACATGCACACACACATAAACAGAAAACAGAGAAACACGTGCACGCAAAGACACACGCACACATGGACAGACACAAGCACACAGAGACAAACACACATACATGGACAAAGATGTACACAAAAACACAAACATTCACAGAGACACACAAACACACACAGACACATAAACGTGCACACACATGCACAGTGACACACACATACGTGCATACAAACACACAAACATGCACATACACAGACCCGCACACACAGACAAACACACACACACACACAAACACATGCACAGAGATGCACACGGAAACACACAAACAGAGACACACACACACACACACATAAGCACAAACACACACACACATGCATGCACAAAGAGACACACAGACACGTGCACGCACAAACGCACACATACAGGTTTGTGAACATGAATGGATTTGGATAGATAAGCCAAAACTGAGAATGACATGAGCAGAAACGTGGAAACAAAGAAAAACAGAGTGGGAAAAGTGGCAATATGGAAAGATAACTTTTACTACTGTTCGATGTTTTTGGGTCAGTTGGATTAAAGAAAACTGTATTCAGAAAGAGTGCGTTAAAATGATCGAAAGAGACAGAAAAGAATTAAAGACATTGTGCAATAGATGTGTCTTGTCTCTTTCATTCAGCTTAGTCCCTTTATTAACCTGGAGTCGCCACAGCGGAATGAACCGTCAACTTATCCAGCACATGTTTTTAGGCAGCGGATGCCCTTCCAGCTGCAACCCATCAGTGGGAAACACTCATACACACTCATACACACAACGGACATTTTAGCTTACCCAATTCACCTATAGTGCATGTCGTTGGACTTGTGGGGGAAACCGGAGCACCCGGAGGAAACCCACACGATCATGGGGAGAACATGCAAACTCCACTCAGAAATGCCAACTGACCCAGCCTGTGTCTTGTCTATTTACATGTATTAATTTTTGTATTATGGTGAAAATAAAATTACCTTTACTATGATTTACAGACACTTAAGATTTTGATTCTTTAATTTAAGTTATTCATTTATTAAATTATTATTTAATTTGAATTTTTCCATTATTTTTGATCAAATAAATGCTCCTTCTACACTGCCTGACAAAAGTCTTGTTGTCGATCCCAGTTGTAAGAGCAACAAATAATAACTTCACTTCGAGTTGATCATTTGGAAAAGTGGCAGAAGGTCGATTTTTCTGATAAATCATCTGTTGAACTGGATCTCAATCATCACAAATACTGCAGAAGACCAACTGGAACCAGCATGGACCCAAGATTCTCATAGAAATCAGTCAAGTTTGGTGAAGGAATAATCATGGTTTGGGGTTCTATTCAGTATGGGAGCATGCGAGAGATCTGCAGAATGGACGGCAACATCAACAGCCTGAGGTGTCAAGACATTTGTGCTGCCCATTACATTACAAACCACAGGAGAGGCCAAATTCTCCAGCAGGATAGCGCTTCTCCTCATACTTCAGCCTCCACCTCAAAATTCCTAAAAGCAAAGAAGGTCAAGGTGCTCCAGGATTGGCTAGCCCAGTCACCAGACATAAACATTATTGAGCATGTCTGGGGGAAGATGAAGGAGGAGGCATTGAAGATGAATCCAAAGAATCTTGATGAACTCGCAGCATGATCTTTATATTGTATACTGTAAAATATTTCTGTTGAGTGACAAGACTTTTGTCTAAGCAGAGTCAGTTTTTACTGTGCTAATTAAATCAATAAAAATCAAGGCATGATCATACTTTATTTTGGTAAAATAAGCGTAATCTAGAGGCCTTTCCCTTTCTTATAAGCCACTTCTGATGCCAAATGATCAACTAGAAGTCCAGTTATTATTTGTTGTTCCTAAAACTTGGATAGGCAATCAAGTTTGTCAGGTAGTGTATGAGCATTAGATTTTTGATTAACTACTAAGCACAAGATAGTGTGTGTGTACATGACAGGAAAGAGGGAAATTAGAACAGGATAATGAGACGACGGAAAAAAGGGTGTGGATAGGATGGGATGTATGGAATCAGAAACAAGATACAGCTTTAAATGTAAAGATGAGTGGGTCAGTGGGTGCAGAACAGGATGAAATGTGTTTCTAAAGCTGGAATTTCATCCAATCACAGCACCGGAGTGTCAACATAAAGCTTCAAAGCACCGCAGGGCCAAAACCCCCTGAAGATAATGCAAGATCATGGACACGATAATCCTGCTGCTGAAACAACAGCTCACAAACTAGAACAACATGCTCATGTACAGTATACATTAAACACTGCGCTGAACCACATGACCAGAGTTCAGGCTCAAACACCAAAGTACACTCATTTTTAGCCATTTACAGTATGTAGTGTCTGCAGTACATGTTAGAGGCAGTAAAAAAACTACAGCATCAAGCGAGCAGGGCTGCACAATATATTGTTTCAGCGTCAATATCATGAACGTAATTTGCGCATCAGCAATAGTCACACCGCAGGATCTGCAAAGTTGGGATTATAGTTTTATGCAATTTAGAGCACATTAGATTGGTGGACTCACTGAGATTTAAACCGAAATGGAGTGAAAGTTTATCATTTGCATGTGTTTTGTTTTTTAATTTTTTTTAAATAATAAGTTTTTTTCATGTTTTCTTCTGGTCAAGACAAAATAATACAAACAAATATTACAAACTATTACTGGCAGACTACTAAATGTAAAGCCAGGATGTTTACAGTTTAAATGTATACAGTGACAAAAATACAATAATATAAAGAAAACCTGGGGAGTAATTTTTATTTGCATACATTTTTAAGGCCTCTGACTGTGTATGCATGCAGGCACAAGAAATTGTAGCAATTGTATCTTTGAGAAATATTTATTTTATCATGTTATTTTTACAATAAAGACCCCATTTTGTGTCGTTTTTTACATTTAAATTTTTCAGTGTCTGTGTCAGAATACTGCTAGACTAAATTAACCAGATCAAGTGACAATTAAGGGATGAAAAGAGCAACAAAGCAATAAAAACAACCCAGGTTCATTCTGAAAATGTACCCTCATATACATTTCTGGTGAGCGCCAAATATGTCCAGGAGCTACGTTTTTTTTTTTGCAGCTTTGCTTTCGCGAATCCACCAGAGGCTGCCGTATACGCTTTTGAAGATCTCAAATTTCTTACGCGAGTGCCGTTCATGCCTGTTCTTCTTGCTTAAATCTACCAGAGGCAGCAGATGCCCTTCCAGCCACAACCTAGTACTGAGAAACACGTGTCCTTTTTATTTATAAATAATATTGTTTATTTATTTTTGTCCAGTTATCTCGTTGTGTACTTTGGCGGACTTGAGACACAGAGAGAAGTTGACGACGACGACGACGACGACGACGACGACGACTGGGTTCGATTTCGGGGAAGAGCGGTTCCAGAAATGAGGTAAGACAAAAACAAAATCCAAAAATAAAACGAACAAGTGAATAACAGTGTAAGAATGGGGTATAACATGGTATGAATCAGAGAAGGACTTTTCTTTTTCTGGATGGCTTTTGTAAACCGTCGGTTGGGTTTAGGGAAAAAAGCGGGCGGGCAGGTCAATCAGTAAAATTGGTTGGGTTTAGGGAAGGACGAGGGTATGCCAGTCAATTGGCCGGTCACTGAGTCAATCATTTAGTCATTCAGTCAGTCGACAGCGGCCTCTGGTGGGTTTACGCGAGAACAGCGGGGGTGCTAACGGCACTCGTGAGAGACATTTGAGATGCAAAAAAGTGCACAAGGCGGCCTCTTGCGGATTTGCGAAAACAAAAACTGTAAAAAAACATACCTCCCAGGACATATTTCGTGGTCTCCAGAAATGTCCATGGGACTACGTTTTCAGAATGAGCCTGGGTGGATGCAATCTCAGACTTCTAATGCTTGGAATTTTTTCTAATGGCACGATTAGGCCAATGAAAAAGATTTTTTCTTAGCTCATCAATTACTTCTTAGCCACATATTTTGAAGAATGACAATTGACTCTCCAGAAAACAATAAAGTACTGTTTATTCCACTTATCTTTGCTCTATTGTATTTATCTATGCTTTTATTTTGTTTATTTTATTGCACGTATAATTTACTTCCATACAGAATCATCCCAATTAATCTAACTTCTTTCCAAATCTGGTGAAATCGTATTAATATTGCGGTATGTTGCAGAAAAAATAAATATCGCAATGTCAGATTTTTCCAATATCGTGCAGCCCTACAAGTGAGTTTAATATTCTCAGGGTTTTTCCTGCATAGAAAATGATGAAAGTGGTCACCTACATCAAATATTGCACCACTTCCAACTTTTAACAATCATTATGAAGGCAGGAATCGCGATCGACAGATCTCAAGTGATGCTCAAGCACTGGTCATGTGTTAAATTACATTTTATAATAATTTTTAAAAATAAGATAATACTTACGATTAGAATAATGCCAAATGTGTTTGTTTATTGTTATAGTAGCAAAAATATCATGATCGCCTTATTTTAATCCAGGAAAACCCTTTTTATTTTGCACTTTTTTTTGTCACTGAAGTTATTTGAAATAATCAATTCAATCCCTCTCTGCCTTTTAACAAAAATGAGAAAGGCAGTAATGGCTATTGATAGATCCCAAACTCAAGCACTGGTCATGTATTTGATTAAATTTAATTAATAATACATTTTTTGAATTAGATAATATTTTACATAATAAGATTATGAGAAAAATGCTAAATGTTTTTGTCTCTAGTCGCAAAAATGTCTTGATCGCCTCATTTTGAGGCAGGAAAAAGCCTTTTTATTTGAAACATTCAAGTCAAAACTTGTTTATTTTCTATTCAAAACAAATAATTTTTGCCAATTTTATTTGATGCACAATCCAAAATGCTTTGTCTCATCATTGACCCGAACAATATCATTGACAAACAATATATAGTGCGTATATCAGGGCCTTTAATCTGCCATCACGCCTTTATCTGATAAGTATAAAGTCTTCATGACCTTCTGGTTGGATACTTTGATACTTACAGCAGTTTGTGCTTGCTGGTTTGCCAGCTGTCTGCGCAGATCTGACTTTATACAGCCTGAGATAAAGAAAAGAAACACAATGAGACACGTAAAAATATACTCTTGAAACTAAGAGGACTAATGTGACCTGCGGGCTGTGCTTCATCTGATTAATCATTAAATAACGAATATTAAACAAATGAATCCCTCAAAGAGCATGCTCAGGTCAGATAACATCCCAAAAGACTAAATAATATTAAATAAATATATTTTATATTATATATCTAAAATATGTATAGTCTATTTTATGCATTGTAAAATAACTTTTATTACATCACAGTTTGGTTGAGTTTTTTTTAATTATCAAATACAATTTCTGTATATTAAACAATTGTATTTTATTACATATTAAATTATATTATATACTATATATGCCCTATCATAAAATCAATGTTTTATGTTTAAATTAAATATTTACTTAGTTAAAAATGCATAATATAATATAATATAATATAATATAATATAATATAATATAATATAATATAATATAATATAATATAATATAATATAATATAATATAATAATTGATGACATTCAAGATCACCCATTAATGGGTTTGGTCAAAATAAAAAAATTAATAAATAAATAAAAAAAATAAATAAATAAATAAAAATAAAAATAATTATTGATGACATTCATGAAGACTCATTAGTGGGTCTGGCTATAATAATATAATTTAATAAAATATAATAATTTAATCATTGATGATACATTTATGATGATCCATTAATAGGTTTGGTCATAATAAAAAAAAAAAAAAAAACAACATTAAAATAAATGGCTGTATACTGGCACTGGTGGAAGGGGTGCGTTGGTGCCTAAAGCAGGTCGCACACCAGAAGCGCTGCTCGGTGCCACGACACGGCGCGCACATGACAGTTTAAAGTATCGCACACCAGACGCGCACATTCGAATGATATTTAACATGAAACTAATTAGATGGCGCTCTGTGGCGTGGCTGTAAAATGAACTGCGTCCTGAGCCGTGGACGGGCGCCGCCGACAGCCGCCGACTTGCGGCGCCGGTGTGTGTATCCTTATAGAAATCTATGTTTACAATTCTAAAATGCATGGCGCTGCGTGGCACGGCGCTTCTGGTGTGCGACCTGCTTTAGTGTCCCACCAGTTATGATATACAGCCATTTCGCACTGCTACAAGTATGGTATTGCATTCATACAACAGTTCAACGGCATAATCGTGTATATAAAGAATAAAATCAAACACAGAGAGTCTCAAAAATCCTTTTGTACGAGGAACTACTTCTAGTATCGCATGGCTGTCAGCCAATTAGAATAAAGAACAAGACGGCACTGCTTTTTTTAAATAACATAATAATAAAAATTTATAAATAAATAATATTAAAAATAAAATATAATAAACATTGATGACACATTTATGATGACCAAACAATGGGTTGCAATATAATATAATATAATATAATATAATATAATATAATATAATATAATGTAATATAATATAATATAATATAATATAATATAATATAAATATAATATAATGGTGAAATAATAACAATAAAATAACTAATAAAATAAAATAAAATATTGATGACACATTCATGTTGGCCTAACAATGCGTTTGGCTTTGATTTGATTAAATGAAATTAAATTTTAATAAAATGTAATTTAATTTAATCATTGATGACACATTCATTATGACCCATTAGTGGGTTTGGTCAAAATAAAATAATAAAATAATAATAATAATAATAATAAAATAAAATAATCATTGATGACATGGGTTTGAATATAATATAATATAATATAATATAATATAATATAATATAATATAATATAATATAATATAATATAATATAATATAATATAATATAATACCACTGATGACGCATGGTTTGCCCAGTTTTACGTGGAGGATCAATCTCATTGGACTTATGACATTTAAATTAACTATGATTGGAAGTTTAAAAGTATGCAATTCATCTTTGCACCTCCACACATCAATGTTATATGAAAGACTATATCCTTTCTCCACATGAACTCTTACAGAATGGAAAATGAGTTGAACATTAACCAGGAAGCCTTTACATAATAAATGAAATAACTCAAGTCAACATTATCTCTGTGATTAACAAATTGCATAAGTTTATAACATTTAAAACGTGTGGCAAGAGAGATCTCATTTGGCTAATTAAACCCTGAAGGATTTTAACCATAACTATCCCAATGTAGTTTGTTCCCTATTTACACAATCAAATGGTGTGTTTAATGGCTCATGCATTAACTAAAACACCAAACACTGTCTTTCATAATGTAATTCATGCAGCATGAATTTTAATTCACAGCTTTCCAGGAATCATTATCATAGAGGAAAATGTTGAAAGCAACTATAGTTCACTTGACTAAAACGCAGAGGTTATAAAGTTTACCGGATTACAGTGAAACAAAAAGATGAGGGTTGAGTGTTTGGCACCTGTTATAATGGTTCCTATCAGCAAAAAGGCACACAGGAACAGATTTCCAGCCAGTGTACCGAAGGAGTCCATGATTTTCCCCTGACAGATTGTAAATATGATCCCAAACACCTGCGGTAAGAAGCACAATTCAACAGGATTATAGGAAACTCCACATACAGATTTTGAGAGTTTAAAACTATAATCCCAGCATTGCAGATCCTGCGGTGTGACTATTGCGGATGCGCACATTACGTTTAGAGTGTGCCTTTTTTAATGGTCCTGTGAAATTTAAATAAAACATTGTATATCTATTAGCGAGTGTGCTTCAAAACAGTGTCAAAAATTCACATTTAGAGAATATATAACTGCTATAAACATCCAAAGCTTGCAGTTTGTCACTTTCGCCTAAATGAATAAAGTTTTTCCACATCACCTCAAACTTCAATTTCTCGTCAAATCTTCTGACCAATCAAATGCTCTCGAGCATCTGAAATGCCCCGCCCCCTTCTTATTTGCCTCTCATTTGATTTGATTGAGCTCAATCACTCTCACTGGCAGAGCAGGAATAAAACAAAATGCTATTGACTGCTTTTTTTGAAAGGGGAGGAGCTACTCTATGTCCCGCCCTCTTCATTTTTCAGTTGAGATTACATTAAACATCGAATAGAAAATGCACATTACAAAGCACTTCACAGGACCTTTAAGGCTTCTGCTGAACCACAACTTTAAAGCAATATCTAATTTTCATCAGTGTGTTTCAGTTTATTATTATTGTATTATTGTATTTTTTTCAGTTTCAAGTCGTTTTAGTGTTGCTGTCAATTCATCTATAAAGCAGAAATACAGAAGACAACTAGATATTAAAGTTTGAGGACAAACTTTATGGTGGCTTGAAAAGCCGAATCTGAAAGTTTGAAGTGGTTTTAAAGTGTAAATAGAATGTTAGTATGATTTTAGCTTGAATTAACATATTACTAGCATGAATTAGCATGTTAGTAGCATGATTCTAGCATGAATTAGCATGTTACTAGCATGATTCTAGCATGAATTAGCATGTTGTTAGCGTGATTCTAGCATGAATTAGCATGTTACTAGCATGATTCTAGCATGAATTAGCATGCTACTAGGATAATTCTAGCATGAATTAGCATGTTACTAGCATGATTCTAGCATGAATTAGCATGTTGTTAGCATAATTCTAGCATAAATTAGCATGTTACTAGCATGATTCTAGCATGAATTAGCATGTTGTTAGCATGATTCTAGCATGAATTAGCATTTTACTAGGCGGTTGCTAGGGTGTTTTAAGTGGTTGCTAGGTGGTTGCTAAGGTGGTGCAAGGCAGTTGCTTAGGTGGTCTGACTAGTTGCTAGGTGGTTGCTAAGGTGTTGCTAGACGGTTGCTAGGGTGTTTTGAGTGGTTGCTAGGTGGTTGCTAAGGTGGTGCTAGGCAGTTGCTAAGGTGTTCTGACTAGTTGCTAAGTGGTTACTAAGGTGATGCAAGGTGGTTGCTAGGGTATTCTGAGTGGTTGCTAGGTGGTTGCTAAGGTGTTGCTAGGTGGTTGCTAGGGTGTTCTGAGTGGTTGCTAAGGTGCTGCTAGGTGGTTGCTAAGGTGTCCTAAGTGGTTGCTAGGTGGTTGCTAGGGTATTCTGAGTGGTTGTTAAGGTGTTGCTAGGTGGTTGCTAGGGTGTCCTGTATGGTTGCTAGGTGGTTGCTAAGGTGTTGCTAGGTGGTTGCTAGGGTGTCCTGAGTGGTTGCTAGGTGGTTGCTAAGGTGTTGCTAGGGTGTTCTGAGTGGTTGCTAGGTGGTTGCTAAGGTGTCCTAAGTGGTTGCTAGGTGGTTGCTAAGGTGTTGCTAGGTGGTTGCTAAGGTGTTGCTAGGCGGTTGCTAAGGTGTCCCAAGTGGTTGCTAGGTGGTTGCTAAGGTGTTGCTAGGTGGTTGCTAAGGTATTCTGAGTGGTTGCTAAGGCGTTGCTAGGCGGTTGCTAGGGTGTCCTGAGTGGTCGCTAGGCCCTTACTAAGGCATTAATAGGCCGTTGCTAGGTGGTTGCTAGGCAGTTGCTAGGGTAATTTGGGTGGTTGCTAGGCAGTTACTAGGGTACCCTGGTTGGTTACTAGGCAAGCCTCACATACATGCTTGATAAAACATTTATACTTAGTAAGCATTTCTAGCAGGTTACAGTACTTGGCTAGTCAATATTAGCATGTAGCTAGTCACTGCTAGCATGTGTAGCATATAGAAAGTTCCGTTTGCTAGCATGAGTCAAACGAGCCAATCTCCAAGTCTCTATGATGTTCTGATGCTGAGATATAGCTGTTGATGAATGGTTGCTAGGGTACTCTGTTTTGTTGCTATGGGCGAGGTTACAGAGTGAACTTGAATGTGGTTGGTTGTCTTAGTCAAATGAACCAACCCCCATGTCTCTATGACACTGCTATGCAAAGATATGCATCTTCGCCTATTTTAATGGAAGTCTATGGAATCAATTTGGGGGCGTGGCTTGTGAGCTTTATTATCATATTGAGAAGCTCATTGGTTGTCTGAGTCAGATGAGCCATCCCCCAAGTCAATAGGACACTGCTATGCAAAGATATGCATGTAGGCCAGTTATTAACATGAGTCTAGTATGAATTAGCATGTTACTAGCATGATTCTAGTACAAATTAGCATGTCATTAGCATGTTTCCAGTATGAGTTAGCATGTCATTAGCATGATTAGCATATGAGTAGCATGTTGCTAGCATGATTGGCATGTCATTAGCATGTTAGAATTATAAGCATTTGATAGCACAGCTAATTACATTCTATAGGACAGTTGCTAGGGTGCAGTATGTGGTAGTTAAGGGTGTGGCTAGAAAGTTAAAAGGCCATCAGTGATTGGCTGCTGGCTAGACTGAGTTAAATGAGCTCAGCCATTAGTCTCTATGACAGTCTGATGCAGAGTTATGAGCTCACAAAGTTTGATCCCATGTTAAGTCAATGAGAGTCTTTTGTAATGGAAGTCTACGGGACAGTTGCTAGGGTGCAGTATGTGGTAGTTAGGGGTGTGGCTAGAAAGTTAAAAGCTCATCAGTTATTGGCAGTTTGGTAGTCTGAGTTAAATGAGCTCAGCCATTAGTCTATGACAGTCTGATGCAGAGTTATGAGCTCACAAAGTTTGATCCCATGTTAAGTAAATGAGAGTCTTTTGAATGGAAGTCTACGGGACAGTTGCTAGGGTGCCATAAGTGGTTGATAGGGAGTGGCTAGTAAGTCTAAAGGTCATCAGTGATTGGCTGCTGGCTAGACTGAGTTGAATGAGGCCTGACTCTAGTCTGTAGGACAGTCTGATGCAGAGTTATGAGCTCACAAAGGTTGACTCAATCTTAAGTCAATGGCTGTATTTTACAATGGAAGTCTATGGGACAGTTGCTAGGGTGCCAAAAGTGGTTGCTAGGGAGTGGCTAGTAAGTTTAAAGGTCATCAGTTATTGGCTGCTGGCTAGACTGAGTTAAATGAGCCCAGTTAGAAGTCTGTAGGACAGTCTGATGCAGAGTTATGAGGTCACAAAGTTTGACCCAATGTTAAGTCAATGGGAATTTGGGGAATTTTCCGGGTCGTTTTTCGGAAAACCGAAAGTCGGATCAGTCGGAAAAGATATAGCAACCCGAGTCAGACCAGTTTGAAGGTTTGACGAAAGTTTGAGGTATGAAGCTTGAAAGGGTTAGGAGGAGATAGACTTTAAAATTAGTCTCAGAAGAAAGAAGAAGAAGAAGCAGAATAATAATAAGTTTAAGTGAGATAACAGTATGTTGGCTTTTCAAGCCACCATAATAATATCATCATTCAGTTCAAGTTTTGCATTTGTCAGTACTGTTTTGATACTTAAATATCTTCTTCATAAAGGCTCTGGTATAAGAAGTTCTATTTCTATTCTTCATTTGAGGGTAAAAAGAATTTAGAAAAGGCTGAGTGACGATACACTGTTTTACAAACCCCCAAAACCCCTTCTGGATTTTCTTTTCTTTCGTTTTTTTTCTTTTCTTTTTTTTCTGTTGAACCCAAAGGAAGATATTTTGAAGAATGCTGGAACAAAATCAGCCATTGACTTCCATAGTATTTTTTGTTCCTACTGCTAATGTCATTAGCTATGTTTCCATCCACCCGTTTATATGCATACTTTACACAACTGCATAAAAATGGCTAATGGAAATGCAAAGATTTGCATACTTTTAGAAAATATGCATAAAAAAATACAAGTGGGATTTTTTTTTATCCGATAAGAAAAAAAGCAACAATGGAAACACATTGGGGGGGAAGCAGTGGCGCAGTAGGTAGTGGTGTCGCCTCACAGCAAGAAGGTTGCTGGTTCGAGCCTCGGCTCATTTGGCGTTTTTGTGTGGAGTTTGCATGTTCTCCCTGCATTAGCGTCGGTTTCCTTCGGGTGCTCCGGTTTCCCCCACAGTCCAAAGACATGCGGTACAGGTGAATTGGGTAGGCTAAATTGTCTGTAGTGTATGAGTGTGTGTGAATGTGTGTGTGGATGTTTCCCAGAGATGGGTTGCAGCTGGAAGGGCATCCGCTGAGTAAAAACTTGCTGGATAAGTTGGTTTGAAAGAGATGAGAACAAAACTTGAACTGAATAGTCACATTATTGTCTTCTGTATATAAAGTCATGATGTGGCCAGGAATGGTGACCCATACTTAAAATTTGTGCTCTGCATTTAACCCATCCAAGTGCACATACACAGCAGTGAACACTCACTCGCCATGGTATTGAGGCTTATTAAGTGAACTTGAATGATATTTTTGCTGTAGATCTATAGAACAATCAAGACAACTGTTTTGAGATGAATATTGAAACTAATTGTCTTTTACTTGGTTCCTTTACATCAAAATCTAAATTTCTCGGTTTAATATAAAGAGCTGTTTAATTGGCTTGACTTGCATATAAAACTCTTGACAATATTTTACAAACTAGAAATAACGCAATCTACATGGATGATTATCTTTTTTTATTTTATTTATTTATTTTTTTCAACTGTGTCACTTTTATTAAACCTCACAGTCCCACACAAACCTGTGCTGAGCAGTTCAGTAGCCCTGAAGACGTGCCTTCAGACTCTGGGTACGTCAATTCAACAGCAAACTCAAAGCCGAGAGGAAGATAACCCGTCATGAAGAACCTGCAGAACACAATATTAAAACATTTATGTCATGACAATAAAAAACTAAATAAACACCCAGGCATTCACATCTATTCTTTCCATATTTTTATACAGAGTTTCTCTGGATTTGCTGGGTTAATTAGGTACAGTTTTCAGTACACCTTTTCAAATTAGTTTTTATTCAATAACCTTATGATTTCTTCCAAATTACTAATAAATATATATTCATTTAGAGAAAATGACACTTTGTTACGCCTGAAAATCTGGGTTATCCAACCAAATATTGATTTCTTAACTCTTCTGAAGTAAAAACAAAAGGTATTGTGCTGTCTAAAAACTAATATAAACATATCTGAAAACATGACAATTTTCCTTAATTTGGAGACACTTAAGCTCCAGTGAGGGGAAGCTTGAGCTCCAATTCCTCCTTCTATAAGCTGGTTTAATGCGTACACCAACCCCACCCCTAACCCCACCCCCCAGTGACATCACTTGTAGAAGAAGTGAAAGGAAGGAGGAGCTGGAGCTCAAGCTCCCCCTTGCTGGAGCTCAGCTCTGCCCAAGTGGCTCTGCAGTAAGCACCACTTGTTAACTGTAAAAAAAAAAATCTATATATGCGACTTTGTTTTTTAAAAATCTGGAATAAATGTCATAATTACTTTAGAGAACTTGCACTATATAATTGCACAACTATCTACATAAAACCTATTATCATAATATATTATCATTCAAGACGATTCCATATTTACCTACATAGCAAATTAATAGTAATTAGGATTTTGTATTTTGTACTTCATAAAACATGACAAAAATTTTATGAAAATAATGATTTGCATAAAAAAAATAATAATAATAATGATAAGATTAATAATAATAATAATAATTATACCAGCATTCTATTTACTGAGCTTTTTGTTATAAATTAGACAAAACAAAGTACAACCAACAAAAACTTCTACAATGGAAGAAAAATGAATGAATGAATGAATGAATGAATGAATGAATGAATGAATGAATGAATGAATGAATGAATGAATGAATGAATGAATGAATTCATTGTCATACCCGAGGGCTCCTGCTGTGATGAAAACCACCCACAGGTGATGCAAATCCAGAGTAAAAGCATAAATCACCAAACCCACGAGGGACATCAGATACACCGCTAGAGTGGTTTGTCTGTGGAGATATTACATAATCCAAAGATAAGAAGATCTTTTATCATGATCAAACCCGCAGATCTGGGTATGATGAACGAGTTTCATCACATTATACTAATGCAGATTCAGAAATACATTTCAGCTGCATTTATAAAATCTGAATCAAACATACAGTATTGGAGTATTTCTTTAATTACTGACACTTCTTTAAAAAATATTGTGTGAAAAATGTGTGGGTTGTGGTGAAAATGGCTGCACAGTTGTGGGAAAACTGCAAGTTTAGTGAGAAAATACATACATTTTCACATAATGAAAGTGAAGGAATTTATGATTGCTACATCTTTTAATTGTGAGGATTGGTTTTTAAATCCCAAGTTATTAATAATAAACATGCAATTATATAATTATATACTATTAACTTCTAATATAAATTAAATTACCAATATAAAAATTATAACAACCTACAAATAAATAAATGCATTTACAAAATGATACATTTTCTTGTTACTAAGTGTCACAATCACAAGCGATATAAAATCCTTGCAGATTGCTGGTAAAAACAACGACAAATCCGCTGTTACATGGACTACAGATCCAGTCATGCACCACACACACACCTGTTCCGGATCACGATTGATAGCATGCATCAGCATGAGCAGCTCCCAGCTGTTTGAGTGTAATCCATCAGGATCTGAAACAGGTGTGTTTGTGTGGTGCATGACTAGATATGTAGACCATGTAACAGTGGATTTGTAGTTCTTTAGCAAGACACACACACACACACACACACACACACACACACACACACACACACACACACACACACACACACACACACACACACACACACACATACACAAAGACATACATACATACACACATAAGTGCGCATAAGCATACACATAAACACACATAAATACAGACACACACACACACACACACGCACACACACGCACACACACGCACACACACACGCACACACACGCACACACACGCACACACGCACACACACACGCACACACACGCACACACACACACGCACACATTGTCACTCATTCAGCTAAAAAACAGAAACATCCAAATGTCCAGGAGGGGAAGACATGCAGTGACAGGCCAAACACACTTAAACAAAAGGTCACAGAGCTTGTTGGGTCAAAGAGGCAAACACCTGGGCAAACACACTAAACCAAAGCACATGAGCAGACCCACAGGGGGGAAAGTCTGATAGCACAGAGGAAATGAAGACAAGCGTTAATGGAGCGATGTTGATGACTGAAGGACAATATGTCGGGATTAAAGACTCTTACTTGTAGGTTTTCGATCGGTCTAGCCAGATGCCACAGATTAGGGAACCCACCATGCCAGCGATCACGATGGTGAGGCCTATCCTGCCGGCATTCACCTCCTCGCCCTGTTAAAACCAGAGAGACTTTTCAATGCTTTTTTATGTCCTGTAAAGTGCTTTGAACTGTGCTTTTTTTATTCGATGTTTGATATAATCTCAAATGAAAAATTAAGGGGGCGGGACAAAGTAGCTCCTCCCCTTTTAAAAAACAGCCAATAGTGTTTTGTTTTTATCACCGCTCTGCCAGTGAGAGTGGTTGAGCTCAAGCACATTAAATGAAAAGCAAATGATAAGGGGTGGAGCATGTCAGATACAAGAGAGCATTTAATTGGTCAGAATATTTGATGAGAAACTAAAGTAGGAGGTGATGTGAAAAAATGTCGTTTGATTTTGGCAGCAAGCTTTGAATGTTTATATCAGTTTTATATTTTCTAAACACAAATTTTATCACCGTTTTGGATTACGCTACCTATCAGATATGTTAAAGCTAACAAACTGAAACATTTAAATGTCAGCTATTTATTTTTGTTACTTTTAAACTAAATACATTCTATGTGTTCAGGGCTGCACAATATACCACTTCATTGTAGATTTGGCAACGTGCAAATCTGCATGGGTCACATCGCAAGATCTGCAATGTCAAGTTGGGATTATAAAAACCAGCCACCACGCTTCCTGACATGTGATTTTTGGTGTCTGCGCAAAGTTGAACCCTTTTTACAAGATTGTTATGACAAATTTAACGGTCATCATACTATTAAATTCTTGAAAGTTTTTAAATATTTCGATAAAAACAAAACGTATGAACATTTATATTCATCTATATATGTATTATATCATCTTTGCATTAAATTACAATAAACTATTTTCCGCTTCTGCGAGGTGTTTCTAATGCAGCATGTATAAGGCTAAGAGTGAATTTGACATTATTCTCTCCTCTGGCTGCCGTCATCAGTCTCTCAAATATTTTTTCCTTTTAGAAACGTCCTGATAACACCATCATGGAATGGAGTTTTTCTTTTATCATTTCAGCAAAATAGGATTGTTACAAATCATTTGTTGTATTCTCCCATTAACTGCACTCTAAGTTTACCCAACTATGATGACTTCTGCTGCTTAGAAACCTGGAACTGTGAAAAGTGTCTATTGAGTGTATATTGAGAGGTTTTCACTTGGAAGGGTTTCAAGCCAATTTAAACCAAATTGAAACTTTAACAAAGATTAATTGTATTTATTTATACAATGAAGTCTATACAGTGTTATTTTAAATATGATTGAATTTCTGTGCCTTAGATTACACAAAAAAAACATGAAATATGATCTAATTGATTTTTATCTTATTGTAATATGCTTTGAATTCGTTTAATATCTTTTATGCGGATCCTCTGCAAAATAAACTCAATCTAGTAAGTAAAGTTTAACCATAACGCACATTCTAAAACAGTAAAATAACAATAAAAGTAATAATAAGAATAATAGTATTACAGCAACAATGCACAATAAAGATTAAAAGCCAGGGAAGGCAATAAAATAAAAATGTGTTTTAAGTCTGGACTTGAAAAATAAAGAGAGAAGAAGTACTGGTAACGTCTAGTAGCAGCTGGTTCCACAAATGTGTCTAATCAAAAATTAAGATTTTTTTTCCAAAAAGTATTAGAAGTCATCTTTTGAAATTATATTTAAAATCGCAATATATAACCACAGACAAACAATATTGCAATGTCAGTTTTTTTAATACCGTGCAGCCCATATTTTTATCTAAAACTCTTTTTATTACTCTTTTTACTCGTTTATTCACCTGACAAAGCCTGAGAGAGAAAGAGTTTTGAATTCATTGCCATATCAGCTTCTCTGGCTATCAAGATCAAATGTAAAGCATTTTATAAACATCACTTTTCGAAACCAATAAAACAATTATAACAATGAAAAGATGTAAACAGTAATAAATAAAGCATAAGATAAAAATCTAAAAAAGTTTGTTAAGGTTAGTATTGATAAAGATTCTGCGCATTTTTAAAGGGTTCAGATTTAAAAATATTTCCTTTAAAGTCTCTTCAGATAGAAATCATTGTCTAATAACATTAAAAATAGGCCATTCCAACAGTGTTTAACACTTTTGCTTTTGTTGCAATATTGACATTCCGAGGAAACTTCTCCTTTTCAGTAAATGTCCATGAGTGAGTCTCGTGTGTCTAGATTTTCTTCCTCCTACTGGTTGGTTTTCGACAAAGCCTGAAAATGCTAAAAGTCTTGTGTAATCAAAACAGTCAAACCAGCACATATTACTATACTGTAAAAAATGTCTGTGATTTTACTATAAAAAAATTAAAAAAACTGCTACGGTAAAAATCTATAACCTGTTAAACAGCAAGATTCCATTATGTAAACAGTGAATAACTGTAAATCCACATTTTCCACATAATTTCCCGCATGAGGAACTGCAGTTTGTTGACATTACTTTAGTTCTTTTTCATTTTTTCTCATGAATTATGCACATAGGACTTTTCTGTTACATCTAATGTTGTTAAATAATGTTTATTGCATTTGTGCCATGTGTTACCATGATGGTGTTTAGTGGTTTGTGTAAATGACACTGAACATGTACACACACCGCCCACTTTATAAGTAACACCTTACTAGTATCAGATTGGACCCACTTTTGCCTTCAAAACTGCCCTAATCCTCCTTGGCATAGATTCAACAAGGTACTGGAAATATTCCTCAGAGATTTGTCGGCTGCACATCCATGATGCGGATCTCCTGTTCCATCACATCCCAAAGGTGCTCTATTGAATTGAGTGGAGACCATTTGAGTACAGTGAACTCATTGTAATGTTCAAGAAACCAGTCTGAGATGATTCACGCTTTATGACATGGTGTGTTATCCTGCTGGAAGTAGCTGTTGTAACTGTTGATGCACGGCAGGATGGATCCATGCTTTCATGTTGTTGACAACAAATTCTGACCCTACCATCCGAATATCGCAGCAGAAATCGAGACTCAGGCAACGTTTTTTCCAATCTTCTATTAACCAATTTTGGTGAGCCTGTGTGAATTGTAGCCTCAGTTTCCTGTTCTTAGCTGACAGGAGTGGCACCAAGTGTGATCTTCTGCTGCTGTAGCCCATCTGCCTCGAGGTTGGACGTGTTGTGCGTTCAGAGATGCTTTTCTGCAGACCTCGGCTGTAACAAGTGTTTATTTGAGTTACTGTTGATAATCAATCAGCCTGGACCAGTCGTCTGGCCATTCTCCTCTGACCTCTGGCATCAACAATGCATTTACACCAACAGAACTGCCGCTCACTGGATATTTTCTCTGTTTTGGACAATTTTCTGTAAACCCTAGAGATGGTTGTCCGTGAAAATCCAAGTAGATCAGCAGTTTCTAAAATATTCAGACCAGCCTGTCCTGCACCAACAATCATGCCAGGTTCAAAGTGACTTAAATCACCTTTCTTCCCCATTCTGATGCTCAGTTTGAACTGCAGCAGATCGTCTTGACCATGTCTACATGCCTAAATACACTGAGTTGCTGCCATGTGATTGGCTGAACAGAAATTTGCGTGAACAAGCAGTTGGACAGGTGTAGCTAATAAAGTGGCCGGTGAGAGTATATTAGTATGCTGCTTCTCTGCTTGTGGAAACAGTCGTTTGGGCTTTGGTGCTTTGGTTCATCATATGGCTTTCTCATTACCACCTGCTCATGCTTGTTTTAGTCTGTGTAATAAAGTTAAGTTGTGCAGATTTTAGTACTTCAAAGCATTCTTGTATGACAAAAAAAGATGAATTACAGCATTTTTTTTACCATAAATTGTATGTTTTTAATACAGTGTAGGTAATGATCAGCGTTGGTTAATATATTTCTGAAAGGTTATTGATTACATCATTATAATATTTAAATTAGTCTCCTAATTACTGTTTAAAAAGTACGAAATACTTCATACGTTTAATAATTTTCCTTCGGCTTAGTCTCTATTTCAGAGGTCGCCACAGCAGAATGAACCGCCAACTATTTCGGCATATGTTTTATGCAGCGGATGTCCTTCCAGCCACAACCCAGTAATGGGGAAACCCTCAAACACACTCACATTCAAACACACTCATTCACTACAACCAGTTTTAGTTTATTATTAGTGCATGTCTTTGGACTGTGGGGGAAACCGAAGCACCTGGAGGAAACCCACGCCAGCACAGGAAGAAATTACAAACTCCCCTAAATTCAGAGAAACCAGAGGAAAACCATGGGTTTACTGTAGTACCAGTAACTGCACCATGGTATAGTTGCAGGAATGGGAGACTGCACTTTCAGCTGTTTATTTTTGCAGACATATTAAGTCTTTTTCAAGAAGTAACGGAGTGTGATGACAACTGTTATTAAGCAATTTGCTGTGTATATTTAGGCTAGTGTTTTATTGTTTGTAAATATTTATTTTTGGCCTTAGTGCCTTTATTAGATAGATTAGACAGTAATTAGTAATTAGACAGAAATCGAAATGGGATAGAGAGGGGAGTGGGGTTGGGAAACGTCCTCGAGCCGAGATTCAAACTCGGGGAGCCCTGAAATGCTACCGCACCATATGTTAGTGTGCTAACCACTAGGCTATTGCGCTGACCAGGTTAGTGTTTTTATAGTTACATTTCAACATGCTTATGAGGTTGTAAACGCATGGCATTACCTAAGATTTTAATGATCTTTAGGTGTATTGTTTAAAAAACAAACACCATTATTCCTAATCACAGTCATAAATCACTGAAATCCCTTCAGTTATTGTGTAAATTCGGTGCAGGTCAAGAGCTCTCATAATTGGCCGGATAGCTGATGAGTGGGAGGGACTTACAGGATAGTGTTCAATGATCATCCGGTTGAGAAGTGTACTGACAGCATAGAAACAGCCAACATTCAGCCCTGAGGAAACACAGAAGAGTTCAGAACTATTGAAAGTGTTTAAAATAAAAGACTTGATCTGATGTACATCTGCTAAGCACTGAGCGTCGTGATATTTCTGAAGCAGCTGTAAATATATAAAGAGCTTTGAATTCCAGCAGCATTATTTCTGTCAATGTTCAGCCAGGTTATATGCAGCTACAGGCTTGCCATGCCAGTTTTACACAGGTGTCTGTGTGTGCAGAGATGGACCATAAAGTTAGGTAATATAGTTCATGCTGGCTGTGAAAAAAAGCAATCGAGCAGTTTTTCTGTTTAAAATAGACTTTAACTTTTTTTGGAGGTGATATATGGTAATTGTTTATTGACATTGGCGCCTGCATCTATAACTAAAATGCATGTCATATATATAGTACCATGCATATATATAGTACCATGCAAAACTTGAAATGTTCTTTTTAAAGTCTATTTTTGTCTATGAACAGAAAAGATATTTTATTAGAAACAAAAACAGATGGGTTGTTATCGTAGACTCTTATTGCACGGTTAAAAAAAAAAATGCCGTTAATCTATTTTCAAAGTTGGGTTGGGAGCTGGGTCTATTCTACGCAAGTTATGATGACTTTCACCTTGACATTTTAGCGCGGATGTATACCTGGCCGGTGAGCCGTCTGACAAAAAAGTGCCCATCTGAATCATATCAGCAGGATAACGTCACCTGAGTGTAACTGCAGTTTGGCAGTTTTACTTTAACACATGAACATTTCATTCATCGGCCGCGACAAACTGGGATATTAGTCAAATAAGGAGTAAGGATTGGTGAGAGTGTTATGGAATTTAATAACGCACGCCAACTGGAAAGAAAAAAAAACTTCTGCGTTTCGCGATGTGAGTGTGTGTGTGTGTATGTGTGTGTGTGTGTGTGCAGTCTTTTACTGACGGCCGCGTGTGTGGATCTTGTTGAAAAAACATGGCGAAAAGTCCTACATGACGGTGTTTACTAATCGCGGTGTTTACATCAATATTGGCACTAATATCCATACTCCACATGTCTTAATTCCATTTCTGTTTTGTTCAGTCATGACTTTAGTCGGATTAAGATAATCAAAAAATTGCTGTTTCGAGCTTATCAAGGCTTACAGTTCAAAATCATGTTGAACTGAATTAACAGTGAGTAGACACAAGTACATCTTATTGGACATCATTTATTTTCATCACCAATTATCATAGTAGAACAGTTTCTCAAGCAGTTTGTGATGCATTTTGGAAACAGGAGATCAGCCCCTGGTCTAATGCGCCACCTGGCTTGAGAAACCCGTTCTCAAAGATTTATTATTTGGGTAGCACACATATTCTGAATGCCTTCGGCAGAATTAAAATGAGCCATTTTAATCTGGATTAATCTAGATTGATTCCGAGATGAAAAAAATTTATGTATGCACACCTATTATATATATATATATATAATAGGTGTGCATACATAAATTTTTTTCATCTCGGAATCAGATATATATATTCACTTTTAATACAGTTAAAGCATGCTATTATAAATTCAAATGTCCTAATTGCAAATGTGTAGTATAGTATGTGTATGAAAAACCTAAACATATACACATATATTTAAATATTTAACAGATCAAATGCACAGCAATTTATTTAATTATATTGCCCAGTAAATATTGCACCTCATGACAATAACTGTAATAAACAGCTTATTTCAGTAGCAGGAAAATTGTGTTTAATAAGCTAGTTTTAGTAGCTTGTTCAAAACACAACATCCAAGTATGAGCAAGATTAAAACACTGATGCTTACATTAGCAAAAACCACTATTGAAATGTGCTGAGGTACAATAGTCAGCATTAGGAGCTGCTGTGGCTCTTCATGTAAAAATAAATATACAGTTGAAGTCAGAATAATTTGCCCTCCTGTGAATATTTTTTCCCAATTGATGTTTAACAGAGCAAGGATTTTTAAAAAGCATTTCCTATAATATTTTTCCTTCTGGAGAAAGTCTTATTTGTTTTATTTCGGCAAGAATGAAAGCAGTTTTTAGTATTTTTCAAACCATTTTAAGGTCAATAGTATTAGCCCATTTAAGCTATATATTTTTCCATTGTTCACAAAACAAACCATCATTATACAATAACTTGCCTAATTACCCTAACTTGCCTACTTAACCTAATGTCACTTTAATACTTTAACACTAGTATCTTAAAGAATATCTAGAAAAATATTATTTACTGTCATCATGGCAAAGATATAAGAAATTAGTTATCAGAAATGACTTATTAAAACTATTCTGATTAGAAATGTGTTGGAAAAAATCTACTTTCCGTTACACAGAAATTAGGGAAAAATACACAGGGGGCTAATAATCTACCACACAGGGCCGTTTCTAGACTTTTTGGTCACCGTAGGCGAGATTACCCAACCCAACTGAAGCTTACATTAGCAAAAACCCACTGACTACTGAACTATTCATGCTCATGTTCTCAGTAACAAACTAAGACTGTGTGTTTAAACGGGAGCAAGCATAATGAAGCCCAGTTTGTGGTGCTGAATGGCTCTGTTGTGTTGAGGGAGAGACGTTCACCGTAAGTGATGACGAGGAGGATAAAGGCTTTGTTGCGTAGCAGTCTGAGGATGGAGGCCGTGTACGAGTAGCTCTCTGGAGAAATGCGTCGAGCAGCAGCCTGAGCGAGAGTGGGAGGAATCTCCGGACGCTCCTGAAACACTGAAATAAATAGACAAACATAAGGAAGTCAAAAACCTCACATGGAAATCTTCATTTAAATACAGAAGATCAGCTTCATTTTGTAAATGGACACTTAACTATTATCAATTATTATCATTAAGCATTAATAACCTTTATAATTTCTAGATAAATTGTTGTATTTATATTCTACAAATAGTTAACTATGAATAATTATAAACTGCTGATATTAAAAAGTATGAAATATTATATGACATTTTTACATGTTAACTGTAAATAAAAAATATATATATTATATTTAAAACTACTCATATTTATATTTTATATGTACATTTGGCAAACAGTGAAAAACAAAGAAGCAAATAACAAAAATATTAAATCTTAAAGTTAAAATAAAGCCTAAAAATATAAGCAAATACATGATATGAAATAAAAACGAATATCTATATATGAGATATATGCACATACACACAACAGTTCTGTCTGATTGGCTGATAGCCATGGGATATTCTACAATAACAGCACTCATATAGCCTCTTCACCCTTGTGGATTACTACGCCCACATAGAGTGACAGCAGATCAAAAAACTCACAACAGTTTGACAAATATTGCAGCTGTTGGACAACAAAATGTATTATTTAGGCTTTTTTTAAGTCAAGAATGTAGTTGTTTAGATTGCAACTATGAGGTTTATTTGTAAGGGTAGTGCCTATTTTAAATATTTATCACTTCAGAGATTCAGCATTTCGGCGGCCATCAGCCTATCATTGAGCAGAGCAAAGAGGGTTGACGTTCCGCCACAAGATAGCGACAGACACTGTATGATAAGTGCTTAGGGGAGGAAAAACTCAGCGTAAATTTCTAACCACAGCTGAACAGATCATTATAAAACAGGTAAGTGACATTCTAAGTCGATCTCTCTCTTTTGTATGTTGTAGTGCTGTATTTATAACACAGTAATCTGGTAGTGTTTGCTTTGCTTTGGCTTTTTTGGGGTTAATTATTGTGATCTCCTGATTGCAACAAAGAAATACTGGGAAATCTCTGTAGACTGATGGCATTTTATGCAGTTCAGCTTTATAATCTTAAAATGTGAGCAAAATCACCTGTTTTGTCATCACTTTAGACATTATGCTAGAGAATCATTCAGATACTAGCTACGAGATATGAGACTCTTTGTTTATTTTATTCTTTATATACTCGATTATGTCGTCGAATTGTTGTAAAAACGCAATATCACACTCGTAGCAGTGTGACATGGCTGTATATTGTCACTAGTGGGAGCGCCTCCTGCCAGTGCCGATATACAGCCATATCACACAGCTACTCGAGCAATATTGCATTGCTCACACACACACACACACACACACACACACACACACATATATACACACACACACACATATATATATATATATATATATATACACACACACACACACACACACACACACATACATACACACACACACACATATATATATATATATATATATATATATAAATTAAATAATAAAAATAAATACATAAAAAATACATAAAGAACAGACAATATTATATGACAAGACTGATTAATAAAAAAAGACAAAAAGGTGCTACAAAAAATAGTTAGCAAAATTATGACAAAATGCATGATTGACTTACATGTACATTTACATCCCAGAATGCACAGGAGGAAAAGCATTAAAGATAATAAGGTTTCGACACATATATATTAGGTTTAATAATTTAAATATCTGAAATTCAAGAAAAACATTTGAAAAAAATTAACTCATTTATTCAATCATTTTACTTCAGCTTAGTTCTTTTATTCATCAGAGGTCACCACAGCGCAATGAACCACCAACTTATCCATCATATTTTACACAATGGATGCCCTTCCAGCTGCACCCCAGTACTAGGAAACATCCATACACACCTATTTACACATATACACTACAGTCAATTTAGTTTATTCAATTCACCTATAGCGCATGTCATTGGACTGTGGGGGAAACTGGAGCAAAATAAATTCAAGTGAACCTTTTTTTGGTTTTTAAAACAATTTCCAGTTTGTCAGTGTGTTGAAGTCCCAGTATTTGGTGCATATGGGTGGAAGTGTGCATGAATTCACCTTGTTATTACATCTGGAGATGTTTGTGTTTGAGTAAAAAATTAGCGGTTGTCCTCAAAACTGCAGGTTACTGAACTCTGTGTTATTTGCTTGATCAAACGTACACTAGATATTAAAAACTCCACAGCAGGATTGGAGCTTAAAAAACACCACAGTCTGCTGTTCTTGTCCTTTACTAAAAAAAAAAAAAAAGTGTACAACATACCAGCAAAACAAGTCATTTTTAAAGAAATTAAGAGAACCGTTCAATCAAAAATGCATTCATGAATCATAATTTAACTTATCATCCTATTTCTGGATGGAGTTATAACTTATAGGGAACACAAAAACCAATATTTAGCCAAAATAAATTGTGTTACACCTCACAAAATTATATACAGATAGGTTAAAATATTACAAAAAAGCATCACAAAAGTACAATTTATTACAATTTAAAAGACAAGGCATATAGCACAATTCATTAATTAAATTTCCTTCGGCTTACTCTCTAATTTATCAGGGCCAATTACTGCCAATTATTCCAGCATATGTTTTATGCAGCATATGCCCTTCCAGCCGCAACCCAGTACTGGGAAACACCCATATACATACATTCTCACACACACACACACACCAATTCACCTATAGCGAATGTCTTTGGACTGTGGGGGAAACTTGAGCACTTGTAGGAAACCCACACCAACACGGGGAGAACATGCAAACTCATACAGAAACTCAAACTCAATAGAAACTTCAACTGACTCAGCTGGGGCTCGAATTAGCGACCTTCTTGCTGTGAGGTGACTGGGCTTACCACTAAGCCATCATGCCGCTCCTTATAGCACAATTATTTGTTTATTTATTTATTTGTTTTAAAAAGGTAGTTTTTTGTACAAATTTTCTTTAGAGAAATTAAAATGGCTCACGATTGTCATCATTTCTCCTATCATCTATACATAGTTGTTCAACTTTAGACAGACATCTTTTATTGTAAGAAGTTGAGAACAGAACTGAATGCACGTGAGTGTTGCTCAAAATCTGGGTTTTGAGATCATATCAGACGTCGGTTGAAAGTGAAAGTAGAAAAAACATGTCATTTCCCCTTCTGTCATTTGTGCTAAAGGTCAGATAATCATCAGATGATCATCAGCACTTCCATGTCTACAAACTTAGTCTTATTTCTTGTTCATACTGGAAGAATAACTGATTAAGACACATTCAAAAAATCTTGTAGCAGAACAATAACATGTACTAATATGACAAAGATCACCTGGGGTGAGTTTGAGCTTCTGCTATAGTAGCATCACACACGTGTCTGGCATGAACTCAGTTACATACAGTGCCTCCAGAAAGTATTCATATCGGTTCACTTTTTCCACATTATTTTTGTGTTACAGCCTTATTAAAAATGGATTCAATTAATTTTTTTCCTCAAAATTCTACACACAACACCCCATAATGACAATGTGAAAAAAAAAAAAAATCTGATGTACAAAAGTATTCACAGTCGTTGCTCAATACTTTGTTGATGCACCTTTGCCAGCAATTACAGCCTCAAGTCTTTTTGAATATGATGCCACAAGCTTGGCACATCTGTTTTCAGGAATTTTTGCCCATTCCTCTTTGCAGGACCTCTCAAGCTCTATCAGGTGGGATGGGAAGAGACAATGTACAGTCATTTTCAGATCTCTCCAGAGATGTTCAATAGGATTTAGATCTGGGCTCCGACTGGGCCACTCACCAAGTTGCTGTGAAGCCACTCCATTGATATTTTGGCGGTGTGCTTTGGGTCATTGTCCTGCTGGAAGATAAACCATCGCCCCAGTCTGAGGTCAAGAGCACTCTAAAGCAGGTTTTCATTCAGGATTTCTCTGTACATTGCTGCATTCATCTTTCCCTCCATCCTAACTAGTCTTCCATATCCTGCTGCTGAAAAACATCCCCACAGCATGATGCTGTCACCACCATGCTTTACTATGAGGATGGTGTTAGCCTGGTGATGAGTGGTGCCTGGTTTTCTACAAACTTAACGCCTGGCATTCACTCTAAAGAGTTCAATTTTAGTCTCATCAGACCAGAAAATTTGGTTTCTTATGGTCTGAGAGTCCTTCAGATGCCTTTTGGTAAATTACAGGCGGGGAGTGGCTTCTTTCTGAACACTCTACCATACAGGCCTGATTGGTGAATTGCTGCACAGATGGTTGTACTTCTGTAAGGTTCTCCTCTCTTCACAGAAGAACGCTGGAACTTAGACAGAGTGACCATCCACTTATTAATCACCTCACTGACTAAGGCTCTTCTCCCCCCGATCACTCAGCTTAGATGGCCGGCCAGCTCTAGGAAGAGTCCTGGTAGTTCCAAACATCTTCCACTCACGGATGATGGAGGCCACTGTGCTCATTGGAACTTTCAGAGCAGCAGAAATGTTTCTGTAACCTTCCCCAGCCTTGTGCCTCGAGACAATCCTGTCTCGGAGGTCCACAGACAGCTCCTTTGTCTTCATGCTTGGTGGGCCTTTTCAAATCAGGTCCAATCAATTTAATTTACCACAGGTGAACTCCAACTAAGCTGCTGAAACATTTTCAGAATGATCAGTGGAAACAGAATGTAGCTGAGCTTAGTTTAGAGCTTCACAGCAAAGGCTGTCAATACTTCTGTACATGTGATTTTTCAGGTTTTTTCATTTTTAATAAATTTGCAACATTTTCAAAAACTCTTTTTTCACATTGTCATTATGTTGTATTGTGTGTAGAATTTTGAGGAAACAAATTAATTTAATCCATTTTGAAATAAGGCTGAAACAAAAAAAAATGTGGAAAAGGCGAAGAGCCATTAATACTTTCCAGATTTTAGTGTTATACTCAGAGCAAACAAGTATAATTGCTCACAATGGTGTTGGCTACTTGCAACGTATGTGCCATGGGGTATTGCAATCAGTTGATGCAGAACTTAAAATTGGACTTTAGACATAAGAATGTGGCTAGCAAAGTAAACATTGTAAATGTTGATTTTACACAGACTTTGTTTGATCAAAGCACGTTCATGCTTATTTACAATAAACATTTCTTGTGTCTTATTTGTCACATTTATTCTACACTGACATATTTTAAAATAATTTGGGATTGTCTTCTCTATAAAGAGCAAACATGATAGTTTAGCTTAAATTAAAACATCTTATAAGACAAAATAAGTAAGTTGTATGTGTTGGAGGAGCCTTCATTTCTGAAACATGGATCCATATGTTTTGGAATAGATCATTAACATGACATCATAAACAATGCACTTACCAATGACAACCAGCACGAACAGGAATGTGGCCACACCTGCGGTGATGTAGAACATGACTCTGATATGAGCCGCCAGCTCATCCAGATCGTCCACATTGGGAACAAGTATGGGTGGAACGAGGAAGCCAATGGCGATGCCCAACTGAAAGCAAAACAAACATCTATAATGAGAAAGTACAGTACAATACCTGACAAAAGTCTTGTCGCCTATCCAAGTTTTAGAAACAGCAAATAATGACTTGACTTCTAGTTGATCATTTGGTATCAGAAGTGGCCTATATGAAAGGCAAAGGCCTCTAGATTACGCTAATTTCACCAAAATAAAATATGATCATGCCTTGATTTTTAATTCTTTCATCAGGACAGTAAGGTCTGACTTTGCTTAGGCAAAAGTCTTGTAACGTAACAGAAATAATGTCCAGTATAGAATATAAAGTCATGCTGCAGTGGAAAAATAATAATATTGTGTGACTCCCATGAGCTTGGAGGACTACATCCATACATCTCTGCAATGACTCAAATCCCTTATTAATCAAGCCATCTGGAATGGCAAAGAAAGCGTTCTTGCAGGACTCCTAGAGTTCATTAGGATTCTTTGGATTCATCTTCAATGCCTCTTTCATCTTACCCCAGACATGCTCAATAATGTTCATATCTGGTGACTGGGCTGGCCAATTCTGAAGCACCTTGACCTTCTTTGCTTTCAGGAACTTTGATGTGGAGGCTGAAGTATGAGAAGGAGCGCTATCCTGCTGAAGAATTTGCCATCTTTTGTGGTTTGTAATGTAATGGGCAGCACAAATGTCTTAATACCTCAGGCTGTTGATGTTGCCGTCCACTCTGCAGATCACTCGCACACCCCCATACTGAATGCAACCCCAAACCATGATTATTCCTTCACTAACTTCACAGATTTCTGTGAAATTCTTGGGTCCGTGCGGGTTCTAGTAGGTCTTCTGCAGTATTTGTGATGATTGCCACTTCTGACACTTTTCCAAATGATCAACTAGAAGTCAAGTTATTATTTGTTGCTCTTACAACTGAGATCGATGACAAGATTTTGTCAGGTTGTGTATATGGCATTCAGTCAAAGCTAAAATGAATCAGACACCATCAACATTTCTCACATTATAACAGTTTATTCATAATAATTAACGAAATGTTAACATTATCTAGTTAATGTCAGACTTTCTGATTGAAACTATGCTGAATGAAACAAATTACAATAAACCAGGTTTGCATGAACCTGTTAACCAGGTTCATGCAAACCTGAACTATTTTCCCAGACTTGCTGCACCTGTTGGTTTTTAGCCGACTCGATGAATCATTTTTGGGTATAATATGTCACTGTTTACTTTTTATTGCTATCTTCACTTTTATAGTGTCCTACACCCACTAGTACAAATATAAACCATATATTTGAATAACTGAATTACCTTTTGTTTTTACTGTACACACTCAACACGCAAATAAAACACTCCTAACAACGCAGATTTTTTTTAAACACAGTTTAAGCACAGGTACCAGTGCTTTTAAAATTGCATTTGCTTTGTCTCAATCCACTACCTGCTTTGTCTGATATTATTTGGTTTGTGTGAATACAAATTGGGAAACAAGCATGGGTTGTGTTCCACTTAACAACGGGACAACTGCAAAGCATTTGGGTGGCTCCACATTAAAACATCCCTACTATTTAGTTATCAACAACACTGTTTTGGTTAAAAACAGGGGTTTATAAATGAACCCATAGAATAGATCTCGTTCTGTAAGAATCGATCTGTGAAATCTGTAAACAAACATTCTCAAAATTCACCAATAACTTCAAGATTTAAGACTTTTTTTTTTTGGCTTAGCCCTTTTATTAATCATGGGCCACCACAGCGGAATGAACCGCCAACTTACCCAGCATATGTTTTATGCAGGGAATGTTCTTCCAGCCGCAACCCAGCACTGAGAAACACACATACACTCTTGCATTCACACTCATACACTACGCCAATTTAGCTTGATCAATTCACCTACATCGCATGAACTGTGGGGGAAACCGGAGCACCCAGAGTTATTATTAATTCAAAATATTATTTAATAATAAATAGAAAAAAGCTGGGATATGAGTTGATATACCAATACAACGATAAGCGTATGTAGGGCTGGGCTGATAAACAATATTATATCAAATCGCAATAAAATTTATATCAATAACAATCATAAGCATTGGACTTTTTGGTCTATATTGAACTAAGAGCCAATCACACAGCAGAAATGTGCAACAATGGGGATCTAAACATGTGTTGATATTCGAGATGTACCAAATGTTGGCCACTGAAAATAGGTTATGCTCTCTTTAATGGACTCTATAATTTGTGGCTTCAGTTATTGTTGGGATACTCGTTTAAATCTGGAGGAATTAACAACAGATATTGAAATATATACTATTGTCCAATATTGACGAGACCACATTTTTGCCATATCATTCAGCCCTAAGTGTATGTATAAACAGGTAGATTTTTCCTCTGTGTGTACAAATATGAAATAATCTGTGCAATTATTAATTACATCTTGCTATGGTTCAATCATATTTCAAAATTGAGCATTTTTACGTTTATAAAAATATCCTAATCAGCAAAATACATAACTCTAAAGTGTTCTAAAGCTTTTTTTCGATATTTAAATGAAAGACAACTTTTACTTGAACTCTCAATTTAACGCAAACATGAGCTCATCCAATGAGGATAGAGTGGGGGTGGGGCTATCTGTTTGCTGACCAATAGCATTCTGTACAAGGTGTGTCAGCCTTCATATCTGTGTGATAAGTGTCATTTTGTTTCCCTAATTGCCATTAGTGTCGCATAAATTGTAGTATAATTGTTCAGTACAGTTAAATATTCCGTGAAGTGCTTTAAAATGTGCATTTTTATTCAATGTTTGGCATAACCTCATCTGAAAATTAGAGAAGGCCCTCCCCTTTAAAAAAAAACAGCCAATAGTGTTTGGTTTCATTACAGCTCTGTCAGTAGCTACATTTCCATCCACTACGCATTTTGGATACACGCATAAAAAAAAATTGTGTGATTTAATCCCAATATGCACATAAATGAAAATGCGCATTAAAAAACGATGTGATTAACTGAGTAGGATAAACTTTTTATTTGATAAGAAAAAATGCAATGAACTTTGATGGAAACACTTTTAACGAACAAATTCCAGTATGCGCATTAAAAAAGGTCATGTGGCTTCGTTACAATAGATTATTTGATGATAAAAATGTGTGTGAATAGACAAACCAGGGGGCTGACCACATTGTAAAACATCTGAAATGTTGTTTTGGTCTTTCTAAAACGTCATAACCATTTCAGTATTAGGCTGTGGTCACACTAAAGTTTGTGCGTGCGAAATTCTGTTGTACGGTGCTGCGAAAAGGGGCGAGATTAAATAAGATGATTAGACATTTTAAAAAGCGAGTGACTGCTCCATATTTTAAAATTCCTCCCAGAGAGGTCATGTTTTGATCCTCGATTGGACTCACGCAGTCAAGTGATGCGATTTTGCAGGTCAGCGTTCACCAAACTTTGCACCGCAGTGAACTGTTTCCGTTCTGGCGCATTCGCGTGCGTATGTATGGAAGCCTGTGGGGAGAAAAATGCAGTGTGACCGCAGCTTTAGTGTTATTATTTTATTAATTACCTCCAGAATGGTCAAGAGCATCTGTACTTCACGTCTCACGCGTTTACACATCACCAAGCATTTACTGCATGTCAGCATCATCTTCTGAGGTGCAAGTAATTTATTAAATAAGGAAAAGATTCACGCAACTTCTCCTAACACAGCAAATTTCATTTTTACTGTTGATATTTGCCTCCAGTTAGTCATGATGACAATGATTTCGTTTTATTTTGACTCGTTGAATGGAAATCTGCACATATTTTATACGATTCCTGTTTAGCGCATAAAGTTAATGCACATTTTTGTATGGAAACAGCTCATAATGAGGGTGGTTGAGCTCAAGCGCAACAAATGAAAATCAAATGAGGAGTTTGGAAGGGGGAGGGGCATGTCTAGAGAGCATTTGATTGGTCAAAAGATTTGATGAGAAACTGATGTATGAGGTGACGTCAAAAATCGTTAGACGATTTATGCAAATGACCAACTGCAATCTTTGGATGTTTAATAATTTTTGTATCTTCTAAACGAGAATTTTGTCACTGTTTTGGAGCACTCTTGCTAATAGATATCTTTGAAACTAACATAATTACACCTAAAATGTTTTATTTTACTTCCAGGGGAGCTTTAAATTGACAAAACTATTGCTATAATCTTACCTGATTTCCGAAGACTCCAATGGAGCACGCTGTGGACACCTCATCCGACCCGAACCACACCGATGCGATCCGCGAGGGCATCCCCAATATAAACACCTGAGCAACGGAGCACGTGAACTGACCGAGAAATGTCACCGGGAAAAGGTCCGGTCTGGCGCTGGCCACCTTGATCCACGTGCCCGCGCAATTCAGAGCCGCGGCCACGAGCGCGATGACCCTCAGACCCTTTTTATCCAGTAGCCACGAAACGGGGAAAATGAGCGGAATGTATGTCAACATGTAAATCATGGACATCCAGTCTATGGTGAAAGAGTCCACGCCGTAGAAGCGCATGAAGATGTTGTTGATGATTCCGTACTGAATCCATTGATAGGAGTTGCAGAGCGAATATGAGCTGAATAAACACACTATGACCCATCTCTTTTTATACAAACGCGTTTCTGGCGTTGTGTAGCGATGTTCAAAATTCACCTCAGCATCAGTTTTTGAGTAATATGTATTGTCATTCACCTCTCCGTCCACTGACTTCGACTCATCGCCCATTTTCACCCGGTTTATGTCGTTAAAACGAGTGTCCATTCATTCATAATGAATCCCAAATGTCATGTTGAGGAGCCTGTCAGTCAATCTAGAGGAACTCACTGAACAACATGTCAAACTATGTTATAAATAAATACTAACTTTTAAATAAATATCATATAAAAACGTTTGAGTTTAAACACCAGTTAATAAACTTGCCATTTTAATATGACAGATTTGCTGCTTAGTTTCAATAAAGCGTCCGGCTCCCGCAGCAGAGACTCCTCAAACACCCGTTAAAAGTTTCGCCACCGTGATGAAGCTCCAGTGGAGAAATAAACGACTAGAGGAGAAATCACACAAACTATCTGTACTCAGAAATGGGCGTACTTTAACTGTAAAACTGTTGTCAGTCATGTGACACTCTCGAGCTCGTGTGCAGCACATGTTGTGAAAAATTAAGCCACACAAACATTTTGCGCGCCCCCTGGTGGCTGAATCCTGAATCTCATTTGCACTATGCCTATTCTAGTGTTGCCAGATTGGGCGATTTTGCGGGTAAAAATTATATAGGCGGTCAGTGAAAATGTGGTTTTCAGCGGGATTTGTATTGTTTTTGGGCTGAAATTAGATAGTTACATCTGGCAACCAGTGTTGGGAGTAACGAAATACAACTACTCACGTTACTGTAATTAAGTACCTTTTTAGGGTAATTGTACTTTCATGAGTAGAATTTTAAGCCTGTAATTTTACTTGTACTTAAGTACAAATTAAGCTGAGTGATCTACTTCGTTACTTTTAAAATCACAATTAGTTACTGTAAATAAAATAATATTTCAACCACGCACTGACCAGCATTTCGGTAGCCAATAAAAAAGCTCATCTTACCAGACCTATGAAAAGACTGGTACATTATTTGAACCGAAAAACAAGTTCAGGCTGCAGCAGATTTACGTGAGCTGACTGTCATCATCAGTCCCAAAGTTATCAATTGACATATGGACATTTAAGACAGAAGAAATGAGGAAGAAATAGCAGAGGATGAGTGCCCAGGGCCACACCCGGAGGAGCTGTTCAACTACAGGTACATAGGGAAGAACTGACTATTGTTTTTTCTACTTATTTGAAATGCGGTCTTTATAGCACTTTATATTAGGTTAATACCCGTTTCTCCAAAGCAGTGCAGTAAGAAGGTTTAATGTGAAGTACACATATACAGGGGCGGACTGGGACAAAAATTCAGCCCTGGCACTGTAGCCACACCAGCCCACATTACCACACCGACACAGCCCCCCACCCACAGACACGCACATTCACTATTTAGTCTACATATGGTGAAATAATATGACATTCTTGCCAGATTTTGATTATGTATGGGTAACCTCAGATTGGGTCGGCCCATCTTAAAATCCAGGTGGCAGTTGCCGATTGGGCCAAATGCTTAACATTTATTATTATTATTTTTATTATTATTATTATTATCATCATAATATCACATCTAGCAAGAGATAAAAGCTGTCTGCACTTAAAAACAATACATATTTAAAAAAAAAAACTGACCAGCCCAGATTTAAAAATTGGTCCGGCCCTTCTGGCATTTGCCAGAATTGCCAGATGGCCAGTCCGCCCCTGCACATATAGTATGGGATGACCTGTGTAAGAACTGACCATTGTTTTTTTTTCTACTTATTAGAAATTGGGTTCTTATATGACTTTATATTATGTTAATACCCCGTTTCTCCAAAACAGAGCAGCAAAAAGGTTTCATGTGAAGTACACATATATTATGGGATGTCCTGTATAAGAACTGACCAATGTTTCTTTCTACTTATTGGAAATGGGGTACATGTTTACATTTCATTCTTAGCCTTCAGTGTCCGCAGTTTAATTCACCATATTTAACTGTTCTTGCTGAAATCATTGCTGCAATCAAAACCGAGTGATGTGTATGATTCAGCATAGCGGGAACTTACCACTGAGGTAAAGTTGTTTTTATATTCGTACATTCGTTCATTATAACACTCATATTGTTTACTATGCTACTTTGAATATTCAGTCTGAAATCGCATTAAAGCATGACTTGAAAACAGCATTAGCACTAAATGACAATGAACAGTATTGTATTTTGATAGTCATATGATTGCACCATTCAGAATTTGCACATAATGCCTTTCCGAAATTATAATATTAAGGAGAAAGTCAGAATATAAAACCCAATTTACCTCAATGAATTTACCTGATATGAAATGAGAACTGCAGAGTAGAGCATTTTTTATTAGGTTGTCACTCCATTCAGCTACTTTTTAGCCAAAGTTGTGTGCAGTTGGCTTTAAAAGCAGTGTGGTGTACGGTAAAAGTTAAGGCCAGAGTCATGGTGACAGGCCAGATTGACTGTCAGGTGGTCTCTATATGGCCAGTCCGCCACTAAGTGTATGTGTGTGAATGAGTGTGTATGATTGTTGGCGACCCCTGATTAATAAAGGGACTAAGCCGAAAAGAAACCCTGCTGAAAAATCCAGCTTAAACCAGCCTAGGCTGGTTGGCTGGTTTTAGCTGATTGACCAGCCTGGTTTTAGAGGGGTTTTGGCCATTTCCAGGCTGGTTTCCAGCCATTTCCAGCCTGGTCTTAGCTGGTCAGGCTGGAAAATGACCAGCCAAATCCAGCTAAAACCAGCTTGACCTGCCTGGTTTAAGCTGGATATAACTGGTTTTGGCTGAACTCCCAGCTTGGGTAGGCTGGTCAAGCTGGTTTTAGCTGGTCATCTCCCAGCCTGACCAGCTAAGACCAGGCTGGAATGGCTGGAAACCAGCCTGGAAGTGGCCAAAACCCCTCTAAAACCAGTCTGGGCGACCAGCTAAAACCAGCCAACCAGCCTAGGCTGGTTTAAGCTGGATTTTTCAGCAGGGAAATGAATAAATTAGTTAAATATTTCAATATGATATACACCCCATCTTCTTTTTAAACTTACTTTTTTGTCCTTGTGTTCGTTCTGTACCACTGACTAACATTTGAACGACTGTTACATATGGCATCATGTTATACGAGTGTCAGTTCTGTGGGATTGGAGTCTCTGGTCCGTCGAGCGCCGCCTGGAGGAGAACTGCGTTAAACACATTTCTATGAAGCTGTAGTTTCTCCAACGTCTCCGTCAAGGGTCTGTGGAGGTTAAGGCAGAGATGGCGCCCTCTGGAGGTTGGAGTTTTTTTTTTTGGTAAGGGCTATCTATATAAATATATATATATTAAAATCTTTTTTGACAGTTTCAATCACGATTTAATTGAATAGAATTAAAATAATTATTGGAGAATTACATAACTCACATTTGGGATAGATAAAATGTATTGCCTATTTGGATGGAATTTTACATAAATGTCTTAAATGGAGGGAGACGCAGTGGTGCAGTAGGTAGTGCCTCACAGCAAGAAGTTTCTGTGTGGAGTTTGCATGTTCTCCCTTATTCGTGTGGATTTCCTCCGGGTGCTCCGGTTTCCCCCACAGTCCAAAGACATGCGGTACAGGTGAATTGAGTAGGCTAAATTGTCCGTAGTGTATGAGTGTGTGTGGATGTTTCCCAGAGATGGGTTGCGGCTGGAAGGGCATTGTGGCTGGAAGCACCCTGCGTAAAAACGTGCTGTGGCGATCCCAGATTAATAAAGGGACTAAGCCGATAAGAAAATGAATGAATGTCTAAAATGGAGTGGCATGATTTTTTTATTAACAATGAACAATAATTCATTCATTCATTCATTTTCCTTCAGCTCAGTTCCTCTATTCATCAGGGGTCGCCACAGCGGAATAAACCACTAACTTATCCAGCATATATTTTACGCAGCGGATGCTCTTCCAGCTGCAACCCAGTACTGGGAAACACCCATACACACTCATTCACACACATACACTACGGCCATTTTAGTTTATTCAATTCACCTGTAGCGCATGTCTTTGGACTGTGGGGGAAACCGGAGCACCCGGAAGAAACCTATGCCAACACGAGGAGAACATGCAAACTCCACATGCCCTTAGTTTGATCAGATGTGTTTAATTAGGGTTGGAACTAAACTGTGCAGAGCTGTGGCCCTCCAGGAACTGAGTTTGACACCTGTGTTTTACAGCATTGATGTTGTAATTGAAATATAATCAGTAAAATAGACTTAAACATTCATTTAGCTGTTCAAGCGTAAAACACAGTAAAAGACCTTTTAAACCCAAGTGCTGACAGGAGTAGCAGGCTAGCGCAGAAACACTGGGATAAAATACATTTCCATATTTTAAAGACACCGCAGGGAACAATGGAATTTAATTCAGTGCTTCTTGTCAGGTCTGAGACTCACTTTATATCTTATAAATATAAGGCAGTGAAGATCACTCATTAAAAGATAATCAGATCTAAAATGCTGCAGTTTTTAATGGCACTACAATCCACTATAAGCGCTTGACCTGGCTGATTGGAAATGAAAAGTCTGATATACCCTGTTAAAGGACTGGTGAAAGACTTTTTTGTTGTGAATGCTTGAACTGACAATGCATTAAGAACAGAAGATAAAGCAATAATAAAATAAATAAATTATATAATAGATTAAAATTATATTACAATGACATTCAAATATATATATATATATATAATAATATACATTCAAATATATATAAGGAAAGCGTCTCTTTTAAAAAAAAAGATATCTCTGTATAAAATTTTAGGAATAGTTTTTATTTATTTATTTATCCGGGTGCTTTTGTTTCCCCCACAGTCCGTAGACATACGCCATAGGTGAATTAAATAAACTAAACTGGCCATAGTGTATGAGTGTGAATGAGAGTGTATGGGTGTTTCTTAGTGCTGGGTTGCAGCTGAAAGGGCATCCGCTGTGTAAAACATAAGTTGGCAGTTCATTCCGCTGTGGCACCCCCTGATAAACACAGGGGCTAAGCCGAATGAAAGTAAATGATAATAAAAAGAATCCTTTAGACTGAAGGAATTTACATCATTGGCAGAATGAACCATTATGGGAACCTTTGTCTTACCCAAATGTCTTGGCTGTTGACTGGTGTTGTATGCACTTAAAAAAAAAAAAACATATTACTGCCTTAAATTGCTCAGCTGAGTTAAACAAAGTTGTACAATCTCAACTTACATTAGTCAAACCGACTAAAAATATTATGTAAAACCATATATAACAAGAACAATGTAATGTAATGTAATGTATATGTATATGTAACGAAATAAGTATATACCATGTTAATAGTTCAGTATTAAATCCTGCTTTAATGGGAGTGCAGTTCCTGCTAGTTCGCCGGTGGCGCTATTGCGCACAGAGTCTGTGTATAGACTGCAGCAGAGTTAGGGAGAACTGCTGTGGGTGAGTCGGGTTTGTGTTAGCTCCACACTAAAATATAAAAATATAATTTAAATGATTGATTGGATGCAGCTTTAAAAGTCTATCACACTTTATATACATTTATTGATCGACAGAGTGGGTTTTCTTGCCATATTTGTTTGATTTTGATACTTTTAATATAATTTTGATATTTTCCCCCATGTGCTTATACAGCAAGTGCTAATAGAGTTTTATATGTGTTTTAGATGTGGATGCTAAATTAAACCGTGTTGATCTCACTGTTACTGCTCTGTGTGCAGGTAATTTTCTATTATATTTTGTGTTAAGGTATTAAATGTGTGATATTAGTTACGCATTTTCTGTATTTTTATATTTCTGTCTTTGTTTTATATAATAATAATATAAGCTTTCAGTATAGACTGCAGCAGAGTTAGGGAGAACTGCTGTGGATGTGGATGCTAAATTAAACCGTGTTGATCTCACTGTTACTGCTCTGTGTGCAGGGCAAAATAAAATCCTCCTCATCCGAGTCCAGTGTGTGTGTATTGCTGAAGGGTGAATGAAGTGGGTTCGGGAGTGAAGTATAAAGGTCACATATATATACTAAGTAAATAATAAGTAAAACATTGCACCTTCATTACAGCATATATTAATACATGCAACAGTCTATTTAGTTTGAAGGAACCTTTATATCTATGTAAAATTTATGTAGACAATGCAGCACTAATAATGTGAGAGCATGTGTTTGGCCATGGACAGAAAAGAAGTAAAGACAACTATACATAAAGTATACAGATATTTGTTAAACTAATTTCCATGACCTTTCCAAAACTTTATGGGTTTTTCAGATTCTCCAAAACTTTTCCAGGCCTGGAAAATGCCATGTCAAAATTCCATGACTTTTCCAGGTTTTTCATGACCGTATGAACCCTGTGATATCAAGTCATGTGTGGTGTCTACTTAATTTATTGTTTATTTAAGCAGACATACTGTTTTAAATCATAGGATGCTATACACATTTACAACAAATTTATTTATACAAATATAATTTATTAACTTGATTTATAATGTAAACAATGGATCAGCTGCAATGGTTGTCTTTCAAAACTCACTTCATATTTGACCTGTTTTGCTTTTTACCATTTAGTTTGTTATATAAACTAAGATTGCATTCATGTGACATGAAGGAATTGAAAATATAAACAGTACACTGGGATAAAATGAAAACAATATATATGTTTTCATGCTAATGTTTAGTACTATATTGCAAAACATAATAATGCATGTATTATGAAAACAGGAAAACTGAAGGGAGTCGTTTATTTTTAATTGTGTGACTTACATCACATTCATCAGCGAGGAGTCTTTATGAAAGACTTTAAATGTGAAAATTAACTTTATGCTTTTTTGAAACCAGGAATAGAATAAAGCGTAAATGATGGGGTTAATGGTGGAGTTGAGGAAGAAAAATATCACAGCAACATCTCTGATTTGAAGTGTGTTTTCACTATTGTATGGTATCGCTAAAGCTGTAATATAATACGGCAGCAAACAGAGGAGAAACACAAAGACCAGAATCCCCAGCAGCATCGCAGCTTTTCTCTCTGATTTGTCGCTGATTTTGTTCTTAGAGGATTCTGTGCTGTTGTGAACCTGAAGGGCTCTTATAGCAGTCGCATGTTTCTTAGCAATGACAAATACATGAGTGTATAATATTATAATGAGTATACATGGCATTACAAACACAATCAGGAGATCAATAATTGATGAAATCCCATCTGTGATGGCAAAACACACTGCTGGACACACAACATCAGTGAAGTTTCCATTAACATACAGAAGAGTGAAGTTATAAATGAATGAAAACAACCAGTTTAGCAGAGTTGCTGTACAGACCACAGTCAGTGAGATTTTCTCAGAGTAAAAAAAGGGAAAACTCAAAGCCAAGAAGCGATCGACAGCTATTAAAGACACAGTGTGAACAGAAACACTTGTTGCCTGAAAATTCACAACTTTAAAAACCAAGCACATGACTGATCTAGATGTCCAGCATGATTCAATGACCAAAGACAAATGAAGTGGTATCACAAACACTCCAGTGAGAAAATCAGACGCAGCCAAAGAGAGGATGAGGATGTTGGCAGGTGTGTGGAGCTGCTTGAAGTGACTAACAGATATGATGACCAGCAGGTTTCCACACACGGTCAGAAGAGCCACAGCTGCTGCGGCCACATACAGAATCACATAGACAGATAAAGAAACAGATCTCTCTGGACACGAGTAGTCCTCGCACATATCAGTTTGGTTCACTGCTGTAAGATTCATTGTGAAGCATTGGGTGAGTATGGTTTCCTGCGACTTTCCTCATATGAAGTTTAATAGATGCAAAACAACAGATAAAGATTACTTAAGACACTACTGTAATGTGTCTTCACCAGCTGTGAACGGCTCGTCACTGAAACACATTCACTGTTAAAGATGTGCCACAGCTCACACTGCCTTTTATACACTCGACATGTTGACTCTTTCAGCAGCATCAGGGGAGAAGAACATTCAGCTGAGAGATCAACTTGTTTAGAAAGGTTTGAGATAATCTTAAAGTCTAATAACAAGTGGATTCATTTACAATATATCAAATAAAGTTGTCAATACTGTAATTCTGAGCTTCACGTATATACATCTCCTTGTTTAGTAATGACATGCAGAAAGCATCTCCACTTCACCCTGTGAGGCCACAGGAAACCATTTGTAAATGTCAGGAAAGGCTGTTAATAATGTTGTCAGGCTATACAGGTGGATGAGTGCAGGACTGCGTTCACAGAAACATACTTTCCATACTAATGTACACTATAGCAGCCCTAACAGTATGTCATTATTTTCATTACAAGCAATCTGTTAAAGCAGGCGGTTCATTCCGCTGTGGTGACCCCTCATGAATAAATGGACTAAGCCAAAGGAAAATGAATTAATCAGTCTGTTAAAGTTACACATTACATATTATACATGTATTCATATTTTTGTCTTGATATAAAAATGAAAGTGTGACTGTTTCACTCAGTGTGTAATGCAGGCCTATAAAACAAGACTGGTTTTCAGTATGGCAAACGTTGCATTAAAAGGTTTTATGCTGAATGTCACATGAACAAACAGAAAACTAGTCTTTTATCACATCCTATTGTTAAAGAAAGTCTGAATGGTGCTGTTATCTGTGGATTTGTTATGGTGTGCAGCTCACTGAGCCAGTTCTTGGTCATATGTGTTCATTTTATTGGATTTTACACTCTTAAAGGTTCTGAATTGCCATTGATTGCTCCATTTAACACTCACTCACTATTCGGCTTAGTCCCTGATCAATCAGGGGTCGCCACAGCAGAATGAACCACCAATTACTCTGGCAAATGTTTTTATGTGGCGGATGCCCTTCCATTCACATCCCAGAATTAGGAAACATCCATGGTGGGAATTACAAGGGGGTTTGGGGAGGATTGACCCCCCTAATTAACGCTTGATCCCCCCTGAAGGACATCAAAACAAGATGTATGAGGGTGGTCAGCTCTTTAATAGATATTAAATAGCTTTCTTCAATATTAGTTTTCTTAAATATTAATATTAAAAAAAATATATAATGAATATACAATTGACCCCTCCCCCAATAGTTCATACCACTGTAATGCATTCAATCACACCAATCAATGCTAGGAAAAATATCATTCAGCAGTCTGACAATGGCAGTTCTACAGCACCGATAGACATCTCAAGCATTCACAAAACACGTTTCTTGTAAAATAGGTGTTTATATAGCCTACAAAAAAGCAAATTTAGACACATAATTTGTATAGTTTGGCCTACTGTAACCTCTAAATTGTCAATAAATGTCCCTCAAAACACTGAAAACATACATTTTATTAATAAATTTGATGTAATTTAAATACATTCATGAATTTGATTCAGTGGAGCATGTATACTACTAAAAATTTTAAATCGAATGGAATGTATGGAAATATCCATACACTCTTATTCACACACACTCACAGCCAGTACACTACAGATAGTTTTAGTTTAATTAATTCTATACTGCATGTCTTTTGGACGGTAGGGGAAACTTACGCAAACATGGGGAGAACAAGCAAATTTAGAATTACATTCTAAAAAAAAGTTCTTTACAGCAATTCAATAGAGCTTCAGTCTAAGAACCTACATGTGCTTCTTTTCAGAACTCTTCACTGAGTGGTTCTTCTATGCATGTTAATAAAGGATTCTGTTTACATTTTAATTTGAGTTCTACAATGCACTTAGTTGTCCTATATTGGACCGTTCTCACAGTAGAGCTGAAATAAGGAAATTTCCTGGGGAAAAAAATGGGACGTCTGATCACCCTTACAGAGGACTAAACAGGGAAATTCAAAACTCTAATTAAGCTACAGCCTCTCCGAGCCAAAGTTTAGCAGCATCACTGTTTTTGAACAGCAGAGAGCCGAAAGAACACCACATTATCAGCATTCGAAAGCATAATGCAAAGAGGCGTTTCCTGCATCATGGTAAAAATTAATTCATCAGCCAATCAGTAGCTCCCTCCTTACCCCGCCTTGGGGCTTCAGCCCCACCTAGCCCTTATGGTAATCTGGCCCTGGTTGTTAACTTTAGGGTTAGAGTCCAAAAAAACCAAGTTCTCCAAATATAAAAGATATTCAGGTAACAATTAACAATAATAGTACATAAATAAGGATGTGCTAATATGTAAACGAAACATTATTATGAATTAATGATGGTTAAGGCGCGTATTAATCATGAACTAACTTTATCTGCAAAATGAGTCACAAGAGTACATGTGTGAATAACGACTTTTAGGGCCGGAGTGGGACTCCTTTTCAGCCCTTTCAAGCCTTCAAGCCACCTCAGTTCACAACTGACTATATTAAAATAAGGTCATTTCCAATTCAATTTTCATGTCTTATCACGTCTTTTTCAAGAAAACAGCTGCTTTAGAACTTCAAATGTTCAACAACCTTACAGTTTTATATGTCTTAACAATAAAAATGAAAAAAAAAAAAAATAGAGTTATTCGGGTAAGGATCGAACTAAAGGTCTGCATTCCTGCAGACCTATAAATTTCCGAATAAATCATGGGAGCGGTCGGTAACGGGTTTAATTTGGGACGGTAGCGGGCTGTCTAGCAATATCGCTCCCGACTCCCGAGTGAGCATGCTTATGTATGTGTGTAAATGAAATAGCGCGATGCTGTGTTTAGCTTGTTTGTTGCTGTGTGTGTGTGTGTATGTATGCGCACGAGCAAATGAGAGATGTGTGTGTGCGCGCAAATGAGAGAGAGAGAGCTTTGCCTGTGTGTGTGCTTGGTGCTTATGAGTGTGTGTTACGCCCCATTCACACGGGGCTTCAGCGTCAACGCTTGACTGAAGGCGTGTCTGAAGTTGGAGCTGAAATCGTCATAGCAGCGTCAGCCAATAAAATTCAGTCAGCAATAGGCCACTGTCTGAGCTGGTGTATTTGCATACAGCGATCTGATTGGCTGACGCTTCCGTCGGCGCTTGAAAAGTTGAGCTAGTCCCAACTTCTGCAGCGAGGAACGCTTCTGAATTGTCGCCGACGGATCCACAATGCAGTTCGGCAACGCCTGACGTCACCCATTCAAAGTGAATAGGAAGCGTTGACGCTGACGCCCCGTGTGAATAGGGCGTTAGTGGGCGGGCGCGCGCGCGAATGAGAGAGAGAGAGCTTTGTCTGTGTGTGTGTGCTTGGTGCTGTGCGTGTGTGTTTATGCAGACAGCTTGTTATAGGCTGTCTGGACTGTATAACTGGGTAATTTTCGGTTTTGTTCTCCCCCCGCTCTTTAGCGGGATCGGGCACGGCGGGTAGAAAACGTGGCGGGTCGGGCAGCGGGACAACAAGTGCTTAATATAAGCGGGAGCGGTCG